CTGGCTAGATGGTCTCTGTTCTTGTCCGACTTTAACTTTTACAGGTCTGGTCCAAAAAATGTTAGAGTTAGAGGTGTAGTTGGTGATGTGTCGGGGGTTCCTTACAGGGCCAGTGCATCGGGATTAGCGACCGAGGCGCTGTGAGCAAGTGCCTCTAGAGAGTTTTCTTGTTTTTTGAGATTAAAAAGTTTGATTTATTAAGTAACATCTCTTCAGGGTTGAAGGTCATACCTTCGTCCTCTACTCGTGACAGGTTGTCAAAGATCTTCCTCCAATAAGCGACTAGGAGTGGGCACTCCCAAAAGATATGAATAAGAGAGCCGACATCTGTATTTGTGAATTTTCTGCGGTGTGTCATACCAATGGGTGAGTATCTCATAGTTTATCTTTTGGTATTTTGCGCAGCGAGAGCTGAGATGCATGAATGTTGTTATTTGTAACCATTCTTGGGTGGAGAATGATGTTTGGAGGGACTCTTCCCACAAGGTCTGAAACTTAGGGGAAGTGTTCTGTCTTCCAAGAACAACAGAAGATACAGCACGGAGATGCTGCGGTGTAGGACCGTCTTCTTTGAGCAGATGTCTTCAAATGGGTACAAAGGTTGACGTAATTGCAGCTGGTTGGCTACTGAAGCGTGAAAAAGGTGTAGTTGGTGATAAGCGAAAGACTCCAGAGCTGTGGGGGTCCGACATACTCATGAAATTCACTGATGATGTTCGGGAGTGTGATTAGCGGTTGTTACACGTAAAACAGTAAGTCATCCGCGGATATCTTGTGTTCTATTCCAGCATATCAGAAGACATAGATGAAGGGATTGGCCCTGACGGCCTCCAAGAATGGCTCTAGAGTCAGCACTAATAATATGGCTGAGAGTGGGCGGCCCTGTTAGGTGCCATTTGAGACTCACACTGGCGTTGAGAGGCCTCCATTTACTCACATCCTGGCTGAGGATATGGAATAGAGAGCTCGGATCCATCTGCAAAATGTCTCCCGGAACCCCATCTTCTGCAGTATAAGGTCACCCGGTCAAAAGCCTTCTCCGCGTCGGTGGAAAGGATGACCAGGGGAAGTGGCTAACTGGAGGATATTCAGGAGTTGTATGGATTTATCCTTTGCCTCCCATCCAGAGATAAATCACTTTGGTCCAAATTGACCAGAGAAGAAAGGACTGGTTTCATGCGAGATGCGAGAACCTTAGCCAGCAATTTGCAGTCACAGTTTAGTAAGGAGCTTGCCCTCCTTCAGGAGAATGGTGATGTGCGCTAAGAGTGACTCCATCCCCAACTCCCCCCTCCCCCCTGCAATGAGGAATTGAATGATGTCAACATTTGTGGCAGTAGATCTTCCCCAAACTTTTGTAATATCGCAAGGGGAAGAAATCCGGACCCGGGGCTCTGCCTGTTTTGGATGTTGTGATGGCCTCATGCCATTCTTCCAATGTGATCTCCGCATCCAGGGCAGCCTTCGCCTCTGCCAATAGTTTTTTCTTGACATTTGTGGAGAGATACACATCCATGTCGGCTAGATGGGCAGTAGCGTTGTCTGGAACCTTGTTCTCTTGTATATTGTACAGTGTGTTATAATACTTGCTAAATGCCTCTGTCATTTCCATTGGGTGTTCTGAAGTCTGATGGGGTTCCACCCGTATCTTTTTAATGTGGAAACGCTCCTGTCTTTTCTTCAACATTTTCACCAATAAACGTCCACATTTGTTGGAGTGCTCACAGAAAACGCGTCAAGATTTCTGAAGCATATGTAGTTGCTGCTGGGAGAGCAGTGTCTTCAGGTCTTTTCTAGCGTCGAGCATGATCTTAAAGTCCTTATCTGCCAGTGTTTGTTTGTTTCTTTAGTTCTAATGTTGCATTCTTGTCTAGCAACGAACAAAGTTTCTCTGACCTAGCCCTCTTAATGTCTGCACCAATAGTGATGAACTGTCCCCGTATTACACTTTTGTGTGGTTCCCAAACAACTGTTGGAGGTGTCTCTGGAGTATTTGGTGAGTGTCTCCCGGAACTCTTTTATTGCCTTTATTGCCAAAATCACCTCTGCCTCCAGGAGCAATGATTTGTTCAGTCACCAAGTCCATTTTTTGGGTTTGAACAGGGGAGACGATATGCAGATGCTCACAGGGGGGTTATCCGACCTTGTGATGTTTCCCACGTGGGAGTCCTGTAGAACAGTCAGTTAGGGTTGCATAAGAAACATGTGGTGAAAGTGACCTCACCACTGGTTTTTGGAGGGGCCTGTTTGCCAGCCTCCTGCCCTGCGACTATGGCCCTGGGATGTATTGCCCTTCTAGGAACTGATTTGAGCATATTGTATTTTATTATGCTGCTGCTGGCCCTTTAAGAACCACCTGGGGACATACTGTGGAGTTACTGGGTGGCCACCATTTCATATATCAGAGGCACAGGGTGAGAACAATGGATGAAGCACATGGTGAGAACAATGGATGGCGGCCATTTTAACTCACAGACACTGTTTTGACTTTTCTACACGGTGCCATCTCGCCGGTATTTGGTGCATAAAGACATCGTTCAGTAGTTTTAAACGACAGAACAGGGGACACATTTAACAGTAATTATTTTTCATATTGCCTGTATATGTTCTGCGGAATCTACATTAAACCGTATCTTCCAAACTACTAAACGGATCTAGGTGAATTTTGGATATGTGGTTCACCCAGATCCCCCGGTTCCAAGGATATATTTATATATATTTTTATGGGGTTATTGCATGTTTTGGGGTCCCTGTGATAATTATATTAACCATTGTGTTCAGTAATCATATCACAGGCAGAAGGGAGGATTTTGTGTGGGAGTGTCTGTGTGTATTGTACGGATTGATTGGTTGTATTTCAAAACCCTGTGGGCAGTACTATGTTTGTAGAATGTGAATAAAAGAGGCTGTATGTGCCAGTACAGTCATTTCTTCTTCACCCTCAATCTAGAGCCCTGTCTCTTATTGGGGGAATTGCTATATCACTACAAGGGATTGCTATGCCCTGCATACTCCCTTAGCTAATTACTACTAAGCTCTTTTAAGAGCTTGTTCCTGCTTAACTCTCTTGGAGGAGAGGTTCACCCACTGGAACCTGGAGCCTTGTCCTCACGCCATGTAGCCACCGTTCTCCCGTCTGGAGGCATATCAGGACCTGGGTGAAGACGGACCAGGTAACAGGTTCACTCCTCCGGCCAACATGATGTGTCGCTTGTGGTGTCAAGGGGGAGGTGAGTGCGTGGTCATACTTCTGTGCGTTGTCCGGATTGCTGCACCCAGGGTGGCATCGTGTTGGGATGAAGTATCCAGGTTTTCACATTGGCTAGGGGCAGTGCCAGTGCCCACAGGAAGCCTGAGATATCTTCAGGGGACTTGATTGTAGCCCATGTGTTGCTTGCCCTGACATGTAGGCTGAACGGGTATCATCAGTCTCTACCTAGTTTTCAGAGCATAATTGTGACTGGTCAGAGGGCCCGTCAGGCATCCAATGTCAGGGGAGACAGGTCTTGAAAGAGGCCTACCGCAACATTCCGAAATTACCATGTCTGGCGCTCCCGGACCCTGAGCATAATCCACTCAGTGTCCATGCACCAGGCCATGCACCAGGAGGTGCCTGGTGTTGACTCACCTTTAGGGGTAAACCATTTTGAATTAGTACAATGTATAATGTTGTGTCAATAAAGCTTTTGAATATGAAACAAGCCTTGTCTATTAAAGGTTTTGAGAAAACGGAAGGACAGAGAGGCAGATAGATTTGGTAATTTAGAAGGATAAGAGAGCGCAAAATAGATTTTAAAAAAAGTGCACTAAAGCACTATACAAGAATGAACAAGAGCTGCCAGATACTATAAAAACCTTCCAAAGTTTTCAAAATAATGTAGACAAAACATTAATTAAAATCAGCACCTAGTAGATATTCCCTTATTACCCAAATATATATAAATATAGAGGAACAACCTAGGAGACCACTCTCATGGAGTGACCACTAGATTAAAATCCCAGTCCAGGTTATACTCTATGGTTTACCTCAGAATATTCAGTATTATAAATAAAGTTTTTGTTATTTTCTTTTAAGACCTTTTTCTAGATTGGAGTGGTCTCCTAGGTTTTTCTTTACTACATTGTATGTTTTTCTCTATATTTGGGTAATAAGGGAATATCTGATAAGCGCTGATACTAATTTTATTAAAATGTTTGTCTTGAGATAGATTTGGTATTGGAACACAGACTTTAGGGTTAATCCATTAATAAATAATTTAACCCCTAAAGGTGAGCCAGCACATTGAACTTCTTGGTACCATAACAACTTCATTTTGATTAAGGTAACATAAAATGGGCTTTCGTGCTTTGATGGAGTATATTGACAAACTTCTTGCATGCCAATAACATGCTGGCATTATTTAGGGCCAGAAAAAGTATCCTTCTGATAAGTCAATAAAGGGGATGCAGCATTGATACTTTAATAAAAAGGTCATAGTGCAAAGAACCAACCTGGCTTATATATCATGTCAATTTTAGTTGTTTGTAGGTAGTCAGCTTGCTATACTACAATAATACCCTAGTTCTCTTTGTTAATGTACCCAGCTTGAACCAATCAAACCATATATGCACCTGTGCAATTTTAAACAAGTACTCATTTCAGTCATTATGTGGTAGATGTTAATAGGTGGCCTAAATGACCAAGAGAAGAATTAGGGCTAAACAAAAACGGGGCAAAAATACATATATACGTTTCCTATCCTTTGCTGTGCAAAATAGCTCCAGTGTTGAATGAGTTAAATAATCTTGATTCTAAAATAATTATGAAAAACAAAATCTTTCCAATCCTATTTGGTGTGCTGACATCTCATATCATCAGCTTAGGTGAACCAAGAGCCTATTGTTTCTTGTTGGTACTTTTTTGGGGGGGTTGGGTGGAGGGTGGAAGGTTTTTGTGAATCTCTAATTATTAAGAGACCAGACTTACTCTGTAAGCCAACCTTTTTTCTAAAGCAGGTGGGTCTTCATCGAGGAATTGAATACTCTTGCATTCCTGAACTAATTCACCAGTATCACGTAAGTTTAGTCTAAGAGTTTAATACAGAGAGCTCTGTGTTCCAACAGTGTAAGGGAATCTTACTGGTAGTCAACAAGTCGCTAGGAAGAAAACTAAACAATAAATCAGACCAATTTTATAACTCTGCAGTTTCTGGATTCAACTGATAAAATGGATACAGGTAAACAAGAGAACTATGCTCTTTTACATGACGAATCTGATGTAGAAGAGTATGAGAAAAGCAACAGAGGCAATGAGAAGACTCAACAAGGGTACGTAATTACAAATAATTTTAGAAATTATAAACAAACAAAGCTGGTATCATCTAATACTATACACCAGAGTGCAATATTGTTTTTATTACGGCAACGTATTATAAATTAGGCAAGTAACACTAGTATTACACATTCCATTTTATCTACATTTTTTTTTATGTAGTACATATTTACTTTTACAAAACTATAAACTAGCCCACACTAAATTGACTTATGCAATGTATAATCATATTTTGTAACTAAATTCTCATAATGTCACAATGTCCACGTACCCCCTTTTTTGCACATCCTCCGCTAGCAACCTTGTACTACAGAGTTAATCTAATAAACGCAAACATTAGATTGCTAGGATATGACTTGACAAATTGTGACATGATAATGCAATGTATGATCATAAATCAAATAATCAAATAGAGCTATTTGGTATCCAACCCACCATGTCCAATATAAAAATGTTGATAAAACACACAAAACTTGAGAGTATCTGCATAACAACAGGGATACATTGGAAAAATTAAAAATATGAGTGGTAATGAAAGGAGGCAACGGGTTGTAGAGAAAAGGACATTCCTTAATACTAATGTCTTAAAAGGGTATAACACAGTTACACTCTAAGACTAGTGGGTATACCCCAAAGAAAGCTCAAACGTATATATTCCTGACCACGTAATTGACTTAAGAAAGGGGAAAGCAGCACCATCAGTCTTTCCTTTGTCCGCTATTACTTGTTTGTTTAATGAATGATCATATACTGTAACTATACTATATTGTGACATTATTTCTGTCTAAATGTTTCTAAAATGTAAAAATTAATTGAAGGATAGCTAGATAGCTAGATAGATAGTCTATCCATCTAGCTAGCTAGCTATCTAAAAAGTATGTTAATTGTAGATTTGTGTATCAGTTAGGGATATATTAACAAAACAGTGAGTTTTGCAAAGTTAAAAAACAACTTGCAAAATGTTGACCAATATAGCATATAAGATGGCCAAACTTGTTGAATTGGATATCTTTCCAGACGTTACTGTGGGAAAAGTGATTTCTTAATTGCACAAAAAAATCAATATCCTTTTTGCTACTTATTGACTGACATTTTCACATAGGAGAAATCAGACACAACTTCACATACTGATAGATTTTAAGAAAATGAACTCTAAAAATGTTGACTTCTTTATGTCAATATTAAAATTATGTGCATCCTTATAATGATATAAAATGTTGTCACATATAAAGGCAAAAGTATCATTATCCATACTTTGTGGAAGCTGAAGGCACACTCCAAACATAAAAAGCACTTCATATTGGCAAAATGCTTTATCTGTGAAAGTGTTGTCCTCTTTTTATTCATTTTATAAGAATATGGCTAAATGATATTTCCCAGGGCATCTGTATTTAAAAAAACATCTATGTGAGCTGCAATACAGTTCATTGGGTAGCCTATGATTGGACAGCACAGAATCTCTGTGCTGGGAAAGTAGAGGAGGGCAGCCAGTAGCTGCAAATGTTAAATATACAGCTATTGCAAGACAAGATTTCATATATTATCAAAGAAAACATGCAACACAAATTACATGTATATACTCTACTAAATCTACTAAACTCTTTATTTTGTTTCCGTGGTAATATTCTTTTACGTGCGCAAAGGGTTTACTTGTGTGAGAGTTACCGTATTTACTTTAATCTAATGTGCACCTTTTTTGCAAAATAAAGTTTTCAACATTTAAATGTGCATTAGATTCGTGGCAAAATTCTACATTTTCCAACAAATTGCATTCTAGCAAATTAAAACTGGTTAAAACTGGTGAATTAAAACTGGTGAATTCACAAAGGCGAATTAAAACTGGTGAATTCAAACAGGTGAATTCACACAGGCGAATTTCATTCATAAGGAATTTCACGGGTAGGGAATTCTGATAGAACACCGTCAGACAATCTGTTCAGTAGTCATCCACCTGTGGGAGATTTCATTAGGTCGCATTCCAAGCCTCATTTCCATCTAGATGTGCCAATCATGTGTACGTTCCATTGCATTACAATGCATTGTTCGCATTTGTATTTCCTTTTCCAGTTTGTGTTCCACTTCAAGCTTTGCGTTCCAGAATATCAGAACTTCCAGATCGCATAGTACTCCTACATAGTAATCAAATAAAAAGTATTACCTATTAGGCGTTTGGCTAGAAAATGGATCTTAACAATACAACAAATGGGTGGTTTTCATAACTCAAAAATTACTTGTTAATCTTACAATATTACATTTAATGTGGTATTAGTGAGATTAATGACAAAAAAGGCTTATGCATTTACAAATGTTTTGATTACAACACAGGTTGATGGTTACAGACAACCAAGTGCATTGATCAGGGCAGGCCTGTCCACAGGCCCAGGTGGGACGATGGCTCTAGGCGGCACTCTTGAGGGGCTTTTTGCCCCTCATCAGAGAGCCTGCATCCCCAGCACACACACAGACATACACTGCATCTCCAGCACACACACAGACACACACACCCTGCATCCCCAGCATACACACAGAAAGACACACCCTGCATCCCCAGCACACACACACAGACACACCCTGCACCCTGCATCCCCAGCACACACACAGACACACACTACATCCCCAGCACACACACACACCAGCACATACATACAATACATTCCCAATACATTCCCTTCACACAGACTACATCCCCTATCTCATTATACATCCCAAACACACGCCAGTTGATCAGCACACACAGTATATTCATTATATACACACTGCATCCCCAGCAAAAACACAGTACCTCCCCTACACACACACAGTACCTCCCATACAAATACAACATCCCCTATACACATAGTGATGGAATCTACTCTCCACAAACATACTACACTAACACAAACCTATCATCAATAAACCTACAAATTCCAAATGGCCAAACATAAATGCTGGTCATCCAAAAACAGCATCCAGCGCCCAGCATCAAGCGTTATTGAAATCCCCATAGGAAAGCATTGAGACAATGCTCAATGCTATGGGGAGGGCCTAATGTGATGATGTCGGAGAGACAGAATGCCGACCGTGGGGGATGGGGGGAATTTCATCCTTGCACAATGTCTTTGGCCGGCCCTGGAATTATTATTATAGTGCCAACAGATTCCGTAGCGCTTTACAATATTATAAGAGGGGGGATTTAACTAAAAATAAGACAATTATAAGAAAACGTCCAGGAACAATAGGTAGTTGAGGGACCTGCTCAAACAAGCTTACAGTCTATAGGAGGTGGGGTGTAAAACACAATAGGAATAGAAGTAGCAATCTAATAAAGTGGGAGTGAATCAGAGCTGGAGGACAAAATAGAGTGCTCTTCTTATAGGAGAGAGCAGGAGACAGGTATGTGATGTAGAGGTTACTCTGGGAGGCCATAAGCTTTCCTAAAGAGATGGATTTTAAGGCGCTGCTTAAACGGTTGAAGACTAGGGGAGAGTCTGATGGCGGAAGGCAGACTATTCCATAGGAAAGAAGCCATCCCGTGAGAAGTCCTGCAAGCGTGAGTTGGCTGTACGGGTGCGAGCAGCGGACAGGAGAAGGTCACGGGCAGAGCGGAGAGACTGAAAAGGGGCATAACTATGGATCAGTGAAGAAATATAAGAGGGGCTAGAATTGGTCAATGCTTTATAGCTATGGTTTAGCACTTTGAATTGAATTATATAGGATACAGGAAGCCAATGTAAGAACTGACAGAGGGGTGAGGTGTGAGAGGACCGACTAGAGAGGAAAATCAGTCTGGCGGCAGCATTCATTACAGACTGTAGTGGGTCAATACGTTTTTTGGGAAGGCCAATTAGGAGAGGGTTACAATAATCCATGTGGGAAATTACCTAGAGCATGGACAAGCTCCTTAGTAGCATTGATGATGCTAATTTATAATAGGTATCTAAATAACACATTATTTTCCATAAGAACATTGCAGTGTGTGCATGCTGGGGCTGCGAAGGGGAGCAATAGCTCCCCTGGCCCCTAGCACAAGAGAGCTAGCAATGAAACTCCAGACTTAAAAAAATTTATTAGCAAGATGTGTGTTGGGATATCTATTTACACAGTTCAGCTGGAAAAGGCAGCAGGCAGGAATTGTGCAAGACCTTTGCTAGCCTGGCATTGTGACCCACAATCTTTGTACCTGGACTTGCCAACTTGGATATTTCCATGTGGACTGGGGTATCTGGAGTTGACCAGGCTGCCAAATTTATATGAGTATGTATGATGTTCTTGCTTGTATTTGCCAGCGACCCCAAGGTGAGATGAGACATCATGGCATTCATAATACACCCTGATTGTCATTGGTGGCATTGGAGTTGTTCACGTTTCTTTGGCATGCATATTTATGTGAATGCTCCTTCATACTCTGTGCAGGTCAGCATAATAGAGATTACAGGTAAATATGATAGCTATGGCAGTAGCTTCCTTCTCAAGATAAATACACATTGGATGATCCATGTGAGTAGGACAATCATCACTGAGATGTGTGAGTTTAGAAAAAAAAATACCATTTGTTAATACTCCAAGTAGAAAGGTTTCAGCCACCCATCCTGTTTTTTCAGCTATTATGTACATGCTTGTTATATTATCAGTTTTGTTATATTATATGTTAGAAAATAGTGTTTAAGTCCTTTCAGGTTTTGAACTTGCTTTATGTCCAAAAGTCCAGTTAATGTACCGATAACTCCTCTTTGATACTATTGTGATTCAAAAAGCATGACTGATTTACATAAGATTCAGAGCTTTTTTTTTTAGCCATCGGATAATGATCTACACCAAGTTTTTAAAATACCCCTTATACTGTAATGTATTTGTTTTAAAATATGTATGATAATCTGTCCAATTACAGGAAATCATATATGAGAGGATTGAATACAATCTACAAATTGGCACAACCACATTGGCTTTGCCATACAGTTTTCATTGTGTTTTTGGTCTCTTCACAAGCAGCTCTATGTATCTTTGTTTTGACCATGCACATGGACCTAGAAACAATTAAACTGGATCAATCATTCTTACAGAAAGGTATGGACTAGTAGTATATAATTATCTATAAAACTGTACAATATCTATTCATGAAAATGTTTATCTGGTCAGACATTTCAAGATAATGTTTGTTTTTTTCATTAAAATTCATTTGGCAAGATAGCAATTGACTTTTAAAATTTATGGCAATTTGGCCAAGTTGTAAACAATGGCCAACTCAACTGAATTAGAGACTTTATCCAAAAGAACTGTGTTGATTTAAATTGTGTCCACTGAATTTACTGTTTAAAGGAACACTCCAAGCACCATAACCACTACAGCTCCTGAATACATTGGCAGTGCATTGTATGTTTCAATTGAGAATTGGCAATTTTGTTTCAGTTTGAATAGAAGCAGCAGCAGCAGCAGTAATGTCAAATTCATGCCATTCGTTTAGGTATTCAGATTTTTATGATATTCTTAAGTATACCCAACCTTCGTTTATTAATGTGCTTATTATGTTTTAAGTGTGCTTAATCTGTGCTAGTGAAACAAACGCTAAATGTCCCACTTGGCTGCAGAGAGGTTAAATATATATATAACTGGATTTAAAAAAAAATGGTGACTCTTTTATATCCATGTTAACCCCTTCATGACCAAATTTCTTGTTTTTGTTTTGGGGGTTGTCAAAATATTAGTATAATATTTATTTGAAACATAGGATGCAGAGTTAGCACATAAATGTATGATATAACAACAGCTGTGTGTATATATTGCTGTTCATATAAACATAGTACATATGTTACGAACATTTACAAAATGTTCATTTTTATTTATTCATTCACCCTTTATAGAAAGATCAGGGTAATGAGAAAACTTTAGACTGCATGCTTTATCTTGCAGTATGATGTATATAGGGTCTGAAATATTAGTATACAAGTAAAAGTACAATATATGTGACAAAAATAGATAAATGAAAAATACCCAATACCCTGCTTTTAGGTATTTGTAAGGACCTTGATAGCATTAATGTCCTCTCACTTATATAAGGTTACGTGGCATTACCCAAATTAAAGGGCCTGTCCTACTATCTCAGGTTAGCTCCTGGTGTCCTACATTTTGGGACATCAGGGAAAAGTCCCTAATCAGTATTTTTCACACAATGGATGGTAGTTTGAGCGCAATAAAAAAATATTGGAACATATTTTGATATACCTAGATGACTGTGCAGCCAATATATTGTATATAGTTACTTATTTTACACAGTCTCATTAATTGTTTAGAATGGCATTCCCAGGCCAGTTCTGAGCTGCATAGTCTAATCTCTGTGCCATATCAAGTGCATTCAAAGTGAAATTGGTTATTTTTAATTTATAATTAAATTAAGGTAATTTAGATTCTTTCTTGTTAAATTTAATGGATTTCATTATAAGTGTTTTTCTCTAAATTGCGAAGATTTAGTGCCATAATGTTTATGTGCTCTCAAAATCCCGAAGCTCAATGAATTACCTTAACTACTGCACAATAATACTGTTTGTCATTTATTTAATCATGTAGCATTAGACATAACATAATTGCTGCCTAGTTACAAACCACTTGCAGTAGTACTGTATGAGATAGCACTGTGATGGATTGCATGTTTGTTTTTCAGGCCAACTCAATTATGTTAATAATGTGACTGGTTCAAGATCTGAAAATGCAACTCAGGTGATACATATTTTTATATATATATATATATATATATATATATTCATATTTTTTTATTATTGTGAAATTTTGCTTTCACTTATGTATTAATTTTAATTAATTGAATACGTTTTTTTCAACCCTTTGCATTTTTCTATGTCACCCTTTTTAGAACAGTGACTTATGGGCCCTGTTGTGGTCAATGCAAGTAATGGAAGCGCCACACATTTTTTAAGAGGAAAATATTTATTCACAGAAAAATATATGCATAAACAACAAATTTAAAAATAATGAAAAAATGAATCTGAATGTTCTGAATCCTATACTTTGTATAGGATTCAGATGCAAAAGCACCAATTTTAATCTTGACAGCACCCTGGCGATGGCTGCAGGTTTGCTCAGGCTGACCAAATTTCCAACCATATTTGCCTTTAGTAAATATAAGAATTACAATTTCAGACAATCAGTCATTTTCACAGGATTTTGTCTATTTGGACAAAATCCAGTGTTTAGTGAATAAGCCCGTATGTACTGTATATTTGTATTAATCATGAATCATTATCTATATACTGTATATTTTTACTAATAGTGAATCATCCTAAATATACTGTATATTTGTGAGCAAAACATTGCAGGAGGATAATGTTTCGTTCTTACCCCTACAATATGTTAATATTCCAAAAGACCTGAAAGAATCACAGAGTAAAGGAAGAGCTGTTGTATACAGCAGACACATACTCCAAGGAATCCAGTGGAATTATGAGGCAAAAATGTGGTTCTTTGTTAAGCTCATTTGGATACTCCTACCCAGAATCCCCTGCAGTAGTGAGAGCACTGTTAAAGTGAGATTTCTGTGGAAAAAGCATGTCTTATGGCTTGACTGGTGTCTGTATTTGTGTTTAGCAATGTATTAACTATCCACTTACTTCAGGTGGAAGGGGATTTCATCCACACTTTTTTCCCCACCACAACTCTGTTGGTATGTACTTTACAAGTAACGCCAAGCCTCCATTGCAAGCCAGTAACCAACCTCATGCTGATGAGTTGCATTAACAACAAAACAGCTGTCCATGAGTGGTTCACTGTTTTTTCTTCTCTTCTTGAGTTGCGTTTCAAAGCTGTTGTATACAGCAGACACATACTCCAAGAAATCCATGTATAAAGTGAAATTATGAGGCAAAAATGTGGTTCTTTGCAGTAGTGAGAGCACTGCTAGTGAGATGTCTGTGGGAAAGCAAGTCTTATGGCCTGACTGGTGTGTGTATTTGTGTCTAGCAATGTAATATATATATATATACATATATATATATATATATATTAATATTAGTTATATAGTGCCAACAAATTCTCCAGAGATGTATACAGGGTTAATACAGATAATTTGCTTTTAATTTCATCATAAACAGGTCTGTACAATTTAAATGTGTTATCCATTTAATAATTTCATTGTGTGCAATAGCAGAAAGGGTTCTTTAAAGTAAAACCAATAAAATTATGGGATTCCCTGCAGGTAACGTCATCACTGCAGGATATACTTAAATAAAAAAATATATGTGGGCATTATTAATAATAATCTTCAGAACTCAGCTGTGCTAATAAGAAACAGTCCATAACTCTTATGCCAAATATATTTTAAAATGTAATTACAGTTACTGCAGTTACTGCAAAACATAATTTAGGCATTACTGAAATACTCTTGAAGATCACTACAACAAAACGGTTATAATTGTTTTTCTACTTCTGTTCTTTATTAAACCTATACAAATTATTTTATTTTGCATGATCATAAGAAAACAGAAGGATTAAAGTCGGATGAACAAGGAATGAATAACATCAGTCTTTTGAAAAGGATTCACGCTATAGAATTGGTAAATATGAAATAGATGTATAAAAGAAAGGGATTCTGTGTCTAAATGCTGAAATGTCATCTATAGAGCAAAAGATATCAGATTAAGGAACAAAAGCTGAATTGCTTGCAATTTGGGATGTCCCATTCAAGAGGGCATCAAATAAAATTTATCTCACTAGTTCAGTTTTAAAAGAAACCTTCCATTAGCAGCACAAGTTTACGGTCATAAAACCAAAATACCATATATGTATTCTTTGGGCAATGCAGCAACACCAAACAATACGTTTTGCCACTCATATATTAGTAAATTACAGCTGACGTCTTTCTAAGCAGAGTGAGTATGGAATTCACATATCAAATATTTTTCTACCTAATGAGATGGACAAAGAACAGTTAAAAGTTTTGTATATTTCCCTATTGGTTGGCCCCACAAAGGAATAATGTTTTCCAAAGTTATAAGTAGCATATCACAGTAGACCCATCTCTAGGGGTAGTCCAAAATGAATTGCTGTTTACATTTTCTCTGTACTAGACTTTACAGCAACCACCTAGACGTGTTACATGCCAATTTCATTCATACCTGGTACACCATCCCTAATTAATATATATATATATATAATACGTTAACTACAAATGTTAAAAAAAAAGTGAATAGAAATATGTAAACATTTGCACACATTTTGGCTAACTAATAACTTATTAAATAGCCAAAATGCTTGTAAATATGTAGATATTTCTATTCACTCAGACAAGCAAAGATAGCACATTTCTGTAAAAGAAAATTGGAAGATTCTAATCACATATAAATGATCTACATATTCTAATGCAACATGGATCTTGATATGCCTTACAACTAATAATATAGTTTGCAATTAATGAAGACAAATTGATTGCTCTGTTTAAAAGCACCAAAAATACCTTACAAGCATCCTAACTGCACTTGAAACATAACAGGGCATATGAAAAGCCATTTGTTCAGTAAAGATCAGAAATAGATTATCCTGTTTTCATGAATTTAAATGCTGCTTCTGGCAGTTTTCACTTCTTTTGGTATTATGAATCCAAGCAGAATACTTTTATGAAGTACTAAAAAACGTATTAAACCCCATTAGCAGTTAATGCTCCTGCAAATCATTCACAGACAATACTGTTTTAGTTTCATAATTCAGATTAAGTTTTATTTTTTTCAGCTTCCAACTAAGCTTGGGTCCATTATTATTTTACCCCAGGATTTTACAAATGTTTTATACATGTCCTTATTTTCATTTTATCACATCCGAGTGTCACAAAGTATTGAGATCATTACTAGACTAATTAATATCAATTTATTTATGTATTTAAATTTTTTCTCATACTCAGATTATGATATCACTCAACAGAAATTAGTTGATAGCTAGAAGCTTATTGAGTAGACATGTGCAATTCGTTTAGTTCCGAATGTGAATTCGGACGAATTTTGGGCAATTCGGACATTCGGATACTTTCGAATGTCAGAATAGATGAATTGCCGAATTTCTGAAGTGCTGAACCGAACCGAAGTGCCAAAGTCCCGAAGCGCAGAATTTCTAAATAGCCGAAGTGCCGAAGCACAGAATTGCTAAAGTACTAATATACCCAGTGGAAGAATGAAGAGTGTTACACTGTATACCAGTTTAAATAAAAAGTATACACACATAGCCAGAATTCAGCTGTAAGCATTTGCAACACTTACAACAATCAAGTAACACGTTCATATAAAATGTAAGTTACTTAGCCAGTCAATGGATGGGAATGAGTAAGTAGATAACTCCCTAATTCCCACGGTATTAGGGAGCTATCTACCAAAAGGCTGAAAGACCTAAATTGGTCTTTCAGACAAATTTACTAATACTAAGTAAAGATTACTTGGTATTAAAAAAATATACCGCAAGTAGGGGCATGTCTACTAATGGGTGAGCAGCCTATGGCTATGGCTGCTCACTGTTTAAAAAAAACATCTCCCCCAGCTCCTTTGCGTTTCTCTTTCTCCCCTTCTCTCTGTGTGTCTCTTCCCCTCTCGAAAACCCTTTGTGTGTCTCTTTCTCCCCTTTTCCATCCCCTATGTGTGCTTCTTCTCATTCAGCACCTATTATGTTTCTCTATCCCCCCTTCCTCACCCCTCTGTCTTTTTATCCGCCCCCAGCTCCTCTATGTCTCTTTTGTCCCTCCAACTTCCCTTTGAGGTCTCCACCCTGTTCCTGCTCACGTCCCTCCTCCTTGTAGTGGGACGAGCCATGTACTCACAAGTCTGACAAGAAGCTGTTCGGTGCTCTCAGTGAGCACTTCCAGTCAGACCGGGTAGAGGATGATGAAGCTCCTCAACCACAGTCTGCAGCTCAGCCCACTACAATGACTCACCGGCTGGAGGGAAGTGCGGTGAAATGGATCTTGCACCCCCTCGGCCCTTGCAGTCTGCCACCTTATGGTAGCGCCGGCCCTGCACTTAATTCAGCCATACATTTTTTTGCAAATATCCCCTTTTTTTAAACTTTAAATTACTGCTCCCTATTTTTCATAAGATACCAAAGGAAACATATAATAACCAATCATTAAAAAATAATAATCATTTTAAAGTTAAAAATGAAAAAAATCTCACTTCCTATTTTGTTTTTAATCCAGATGTGTATAATATAATTTTAATTATTTTTGTTTTTAAATCTGCCTTGCAATAATGCCTGATATTTCATGGTCATTGGGCCAGACAATATTGTAGCCATTTCTACATGTCCGCACAGCCATAGACAGCATTTTCTCTGCTGTTCCTTAAAGCGACACAGTCACTATCTGGGGACTTTCTGTAATTTGCAAGTACCTACCTTATCTCAAAACTGGGAAAGGAAGAAATTAGTTGTATTTACAATTTAAAAATCCTTATCCCTCATGGTTTAAACTCTGATTTTGAAGTCTGCCATTTTTAATGATTTTTTATATATATTTTACTCAGATCCATTTTAATATCATATCCATTATTTTCACCATTATTTTTCTTTTAATAAGAGCCAACTTATATGCATGTTTACTCTCTTAACCACTTTTTGGGTTTTATTTGAATTTTTAGTGTATATGAATATTTGGATTTTATATTGTATATGAATATCTTTATTTACCTACACAACTACTGTAATTTCTTCTTTTTTCTGTTTTTCTTCCTCTATGTATGTATTGTATATATTTACCCATGAACTTTTAATGAACTGCTCGATGAAACAAAAACGCAATAATTTGCGCTTTTTAAAATAACTGAACAAGGGGGGAGAAGTATACAAAAGTATTTTGAGCACAGTGGAACGCATGAATGCGCTCCAATATAGAGGAATGGACACAAATCACATGCGTTCCACCAATGGAACGCAAAATCCGGAACTCGGAACCGGAAGTAAACGCACGATATGCAGAGGAATAGATGTGAACCACATGCGTTCCACCTATGGAATGCACAACCCGATACTGTAAATGACCGCACGACAGGAAAAGACCGCCAATTAAGGTAGATTTAAAAGGAAACCCACAGACAGGACAACAGCAGCAACTGAGGAAGTCTCCCAACGAGGCTAAACGCGTTTTGCACTACAAAGGACCTACAGACACCTTATTATGAACTTACCTTTGGACTGTAAGGTTTTTATTTTTATCAATTTGTTTTTATATTCTATCTTAGAATGTTTTTTATTTTTTTCCTTTGTGCACTTTATAATATAGCACTTTACATTAACATTTACTACTGAGAGGATATTCGATTCTTTGGAACCATTCTACTACTCAAGAAGGGAGTGGGGACCTTTATACCCCACAAAGCTGGAAATCTGAGCCTATTATTATTGGCTCCAACCTTGTGAGTGTATTTTCACCCATTATCTACACTCTAATATTTATAACTGACAATATTGCATTATTGTTTGCCTTTTTTGTATTTTATTACTAGGACGATACTCGCCCAAGAATTGACTAAACATTAATAGGAAAGATACTCAACCTTATATGTATGTATATTTATGTTTATTGTGAGATTTAAGGGAAACTCACTAAGGTGTTAGAGTTTTGATTATTATTCATACTACTCACTGGGATTCTGTCACCATTTATCGACCTACCTTATCTCAGTATATCTTTTGGCTGGGTTGGAAAATCTGTGAAATTCCAACATATCTCAATATTTTCAATATAGCTCTATGAAATGCTCATTTGGGGGGGGGAGAGGAAGGTGACAATGCTGCTTTTATGCTATTACATTGCAAAATCGCATTAATTATATTACCTTGTTTGGTTTATTTGTATTTAGTGGATATAAGTAATTAGTCACATGCTGACATCAAATATTGCTTTTTGTAGAATATGAAATCAGTGAAAAAGATTGTTTCAAGTCATGAGGATTACAAAGCTGAACAAATCCACCAACAAGCCGAAGCAACTAAGGTAAATATAACTATAATTGCACATTCTGTTACTTTTTATTTAAATGGGGAATATTTTAGTTTTAATAGCAGTGATGTATGTTATAATTCCTAACTAAACTTACATGAAATGTTATTTAATGCTTATTTATAATTTAGTTTTTAATGCGGAGTGTCACAAACAAGTAGTTTTCCTGGCACTATAACTCTATATAGTGCCCCACTCCTTCAAGGCCTCCTACCCCTCTCTCTTGGTGCAGAAAGAGTTAAAAACCCCTTCTATCACTTGCCTGAGTCCAGTGCCATTGGTTCGAACTCTGCCTTTGCTGCTGCTCCTCCCACTGCCGGCATCAGCTCGCCAATGGCCACGCTCACATTAGTATTTCCCCCACAGGAAAGTATGTATAATGCTTTCCTAAGGACGCTGGATGACCTGATGCATAGTGTGAGGATGTCCAGCGTCAGGCGACCAAAAGTCACCTAATCACCTGGAAGTCCCTATAGTGACTGTCTACTAGACAGCCACTAAAGTTGGAGTTTCCCCTAAAATGTAATTATTGCAGTTCATTAAAAACTGCAATACTTACCTACGCAGGGTGAAAGGACTTGGGATTATGCACCCAGACCAATTCAATGAGATGGCGTGGTCTGGGTACCTATAGTATCTCTTTGTTGAGCTTTCCAAAGGATTTAATACTGTTAGAAAAAGTTTCTGAATTATATTTCTACAAATACCACCATTGACTTTAAAGTTGATTTCTGTAGATAAATCCTTTGTAATGCTTATTTAACAGTATTTAATCTTTTGGAAAGCTTATTAAATCAAAGTCATAATTATAAATTTCAATCCTTACAGAAAGTCTGCTACTCAAATTAAACATTTTCACAACACCAATTATCTATTTTAAAACAAGTTAGAAATTAATTTGATGCATGTTACATTTATAAAAGCTGTTCAACTCAACATAAAAATAATATTACATGGATTACCGTTAACTAAATTAGAAACATAGAAATGTACTTTACCGAGTTAAAGAAAGGGAAAGAGGGGAAGAGAACTAAAAGGGTGTTAAAAACATTAGATTTGGCATTTACTTGTAATAATGACTTATATTTCAGAGATTGTTACTTTAAAATACACATCTTATAGCATAACAATTATATAAAGACATAAAAAAACAAATGTAATTTTAGATTTGATAGTGTATTTTATCTTTAATTTTCAGTCTTCTTGACCAATTTATCTCCACCTAGTTTTGAGATCCTTGAATGCAATGGATAAGACCCACTGAAATGGGATAGACAAGGTAGATAAGTTGTTAAAAAAAATTATGTTAGAATGATCAGAAAGGCAGGGCGAGGGTCAAATGAACGCTAAATTGGTTATTCAAAGGATAGCCAAAGTTAAGGGAAGAATAATGCAATGTATGCAATGGAAGGCAATGTGCTTGAGTGAGTACATAATGAACATTGAGAACCACAGACTGTTAGGTGGATAGACTTAAAACCAGATTGGATAGCAACTAGAATAGAAAATGGGTGAATATAGTTCATGTGTTGGCTGTTGATATGACCAGTAAGGCAGGGGACAGAGGACTAAATGGTCCATAATTAGTGCGGTACATACTTCATATTGACGAAGCTTGAAATATTTTATTAATCAATATATCTGACCTTTACAGCCTTTAAAATCAAACAAAAAAAAGTGACATTTATGACTTCATATTATTTTTAAATGAGAATCATGATTATCAAATGCATAATGTTGAAGTCGGTATTATTTCTTAAATCAAATTCTCAAGTCAATTTACAGTCCAATATTATTTAATAATGTATATCGTAATTTGTTTTTTTGACTTTTTTGGCATATTTCACAGTATGAAAATGCATTGGAAAGACAGTTCAATAATATGACCAAAGCCTTGAATACTATTCGAAATCACCTGGAGGAGGTCAGTACAATTTTCTTTGGCTTTCCTTTCATTTTAATAGAAATTACCGCTTTTGAAAATGTAATGCAATCTACAGTAGATCTAAGTAGTAATAGCTAAGTGTTTTGTAATACATTATTCTTTTTTAGTGTTCAAATTCTAAGGATTTTCTTTTTAATTTTAATAGTATATAGTTTGCTCTATTCAAATAGGTTACAAATGCATTTTCAGGATTAAAGGCTTTTAAGTGTATTGTATTCTATATTTGCAAATGTACTGCAGCAGATTGCTTTTAAAAATCCTTTAAAATACTTATGTGTTGTTAACAATATGAGTGCCAGGAAAATGCAACTAGTATTTAACAAATACTTTTTTGGCATAACGTTAATTAGAAGAATATTTAAGGCTGGATTCTGTAAGAAAAGTAAAGATTGATAGCTGAATAGCAGTTCATCTATTGAAGTCTATGATAAAATTGATATTCAGTAAGCAGAGTAAACCCTAAGAGAATCCAGGACATTATTTGTGTGTTTGACTGCTAATAAGATGCATGCTGCCAGCATTATAGAAACACGTTTAAAGAGAGCTGACAGTATGTGTCAACAAAAAGTATATTCCCCCACTGTTACACAATCAGTCAACAATATAATACTCAACGTATAAAGTGGGAAAAAAATCTATGGTCTCTCAGAATATATGTGTACAACAACATAAGGGAAGAAAAAAACAACCATAGTGTAAACCATTAAGTAGACATATTAGATTACATTACTATAATTTAACCTTAAACTCCTTATCTTGGAAGTGCAAACTAATATGTGGTGGCATATCTACTTAGTAGTTTTACACTATGGTTGGTTTTTATTTTCTTCCACAGAAATTAGCTGTATCTCCATTGTGGTGTTGTACATATATTCAACACAAGTCTATGTTGTTTCCAGCACACAAAAAAATATTATTTGAGTGTCCTTAAAGTGGCCCTGTCATGCCAAACTTACCTTTCCCCAACTGCTTCCTCTTCTCTACCTCTGTCAGGATCTGTTCTTCATTTCTTCCTTTCTGATCTAGTTTTCTTTCAAACATAAGGCAAAGTAGGGGCTACTTTGTTTTATGTATTTTTCCATGCTCCATTTCCTGTGGTCAAATACATTTTCCCACAATATTCAACTTTCCTCCTGTGTTCTTGTGTTGTTTCATTCACCGTTCGAACTTCCTGTCATTTAGACGGGGCACCTGTCTCAGGGAAATCTTGACTTCTGTATGATTTCGGTTCCAGATTAGCATGCATAGGTTACATCAAGTCAGTGTAAAGATGATTCGTTATTGGGAGGGCTGGATATTTATGCAGTTTAGACAAAAAAAGGATTTATGCCAAAAAGCATTTCTAACTAGTTTCATATAGTATTCCTGTGATCACTCATACACCCTCTTAGCATTACCTCTTGGCAGGGTTTCCAAGGTTCTGCACATCCTGCAACATACATTAATTCTGCTACATGCCAAATTATATATTTGCTGCACGTACATAATAACTAAAACTAGCGTAGTGAGACAAGATGGAGGGACATAGTGAGACAAGATGGAGGGACATAGTGAGACAAGTTGGAGGGACATAGTCTTTTATCCTTCACACCTGCAAATTCACAGAATTTTGTCCTAGCAGAATGTGTACAGTTTGTCCATTCGTGTTAGGACGTGCATTTTGTTTGGTTCTAAATTTCATTAGAATGAATAAAATTCCGATCCAGTCAGTGATGCAGCTGCATCTTGCAGCCGCTTAGTAGATAGCTCCCTAATTCCTACAGTATTCTCACTCTCACTAAAATTCTCAATCTCTCTCTCTCCTCTGGTATATTTCCATCACCTTTCAAACATGCAACTCTAACCCAAAATCTAAAGAAGCCCAATCTTGACCCTAACTCACCATCCAACTATCGTCCTATCTCGCTACTGCCTTTTGCATCCAAGATCCTTGAAAGAATTGTGTATGCGAGATTGACAGACTTCCTCGAGTCCAACTCTCTGCTAGACATGCTTCAGTCTGGTTTACGCGCTAAGCACTCTGTGGAAACGGCACTGACCAAAGTATCCAATGATCTACTCGCTGCAAAATCTCATGGTCACTACTCTATCCTAATTCTCCTTGACCTGTCTGCGGCTTTTGACACTGTTGATCATAAACAGCTTCTTCTCATCCTCCGCAATATCGGTCTACAAGATATTGCTCTTTCCTGGTGCTCCTCCTACCTCTCCCAGCGCTCTTTCAGTGTTTCTTTCTCTGGCTCTTCTTCTTCTCCCCAACTCCTCTCTGTTGGTGTCCCCCAAGGTTCAGTCCTTGGTCCCCTACTGTTCTCAATCTATAGTGCCTCCCTTGGTAAACTCATTAGTTCCTTTGGCTTCCAATATCATTTCTATTCGGATGACAAACAAATCTATCTGTCCTCTCCTGATCTCTCCCCGTCCCTCTTGACTAGTGTCTCTGACTGCCTCTCTGCTGTTTCTAACTGAATGGCTGCCCACTTCCTTACGTAAGCAGATGTTTATAAACTAAAGTTATCTAACAATATCAGGTGTTATCATAATAGAGCTAATCACATATGCAAGAACGAAATTCGTAAACCAATAATAAGTCTCATACAAGTAAATAGACATATCCCAGAACTAGAATTCCCCAGCGTCCTATGACTCTGTAACTTACCTTATACCAGGGTTGGGAAGAACCATAAAAAGGGGGGGGAATAGTCGCCTCCTGTCATTACTAAACTTAAGATTATTAGTACACTGCGTTAGCATAATCTTCAATTCTACAACATGACAAGAGGCTTCATATTTTGCAATTTTAACGCATAGGAAGAAGAAAAAAACGCGGTGTTAGATGACGGACAGAAGTAGAATGTCCGAAATGTAGGTTCGTGAGACCAGTCCGCCGCTTGTAAGATATCCAAAAGTGACGCACCCTCCATAAACGGCGATGATGCTGCTGCTCCGCGAATGGAGTGGGCACCAAAAGACAGGTCTATCCCAGCCAGGGTGAGGAGCCATCTAATCCATCTGGACAGGGTAGAGCCTAAACCGGACCGTGAGGGCTAATATATGACACCAGTAGTTGCTGGGATGTTGTTGGGCGCAACATCTCCATCGCCTTCACATATTCAAAGCATAACCACCCATAGTTGAGGAACCGAAGCAAAGAACGAGTAGAAGACCGACAACGAATCAGATTTAGTTCATCGTAAAATACAGAATGTGACCCCTTCCAGTCGTCCACATCGAATGCGTGCATATCCAAGACTCATCGGAACGAGATGAGGCACAGTAGGAAGGTAAATTTGGTTGCCAATTGTCATAAGGATAGAAGTTCGTTAGGTGGCCACCATCTCAAGAACCGAAGCACCACGTCCACATCCCATAGACATTGGTAATTAGGAGCTCGAGGACATCTGAGTTTGATGCCATGTAGTAGTCGACAGATCAGGGGGTCTTGATCAACTGTCCTCCCTTGGGTAGGTATATGGGCTTCCGATATAGCGGACCTGATGACATTGATGGTGCGGTATGACTTACCTTCCCCGAACAGTGAAGAGAGGAAATTCATCATCGCGGAAATAGGAACTGTAAAGGGATCAAGGTCCCATCCCACGCACCAACTGGTCCAAGATCACCAGGCAGATAAGTAACTCTTCCGTGTTACTGGGGCCCAGGAATCCCACAGTAGGTCTTTAGTCGCTGACGATAAGTCGTTGGTACACCATGCACCCCGAAAGAGTCCAGGTCACTAAGGACCTCACTAAGGACCTCTCTCTGGAGGAGCCATCAGACTCTTCTGAGTCTTCCCTGTCTTGGGAGCGTTTAGGAACCAGCCTGATAGCATCAGAGGCCGCCGGGAGCACTCCTCTAGGGATGCGGCCACCGCCGCATCGATCATTGCCTGAAGGTCCATGTTATGGGCTATCTATGCACTTGATATACTAAACAGGCACAAGTAGGAGAGGTAGAGAAACCAGTTGGGAGGGACGTGAAAGAGGCCGTAGGCCATAATTTACACACAGCCTAATGGTGTGCATCAATAGAGCAGACTCTTATAATCACTGTGGCTCACCGAGGAAATCAGAATTGCATAAACAGATTCCGTTCAGCAGCACTCTGGGTATTACCCAAATGGGGACTCATCCCTTGCCAGACTACTAGGGTATACCTGACTGGTAGTCCCACTCTCCAGGGGTATTTCACCAACCTGACCAGGTCGCTTTGACAGTATGCACATTTTCACAGCTGGACTGAAAATTCCAAAAGCAGAGAGCCTCTTTGTGATGAGAGTAGAATCCACTATTAAACACACGAACAAGATGGCCGCAACGAGTCTTGCGAGAACCGGGGCTAAATGGCATAGAAAAAGCCAGCAAAATGCATTTGCAGGAAAACATACGAACGTCAGGGGAAAGAGACTAGACGTGAACAGCAGAATTCCATCGAACAGTCCATTCACGAAAAACAAACTACCGAACGTATAATGAGGATAGAACTCCGCAAACGGAGGTTTACGAACGGTTAGTTCATGTGCAAATCCCTGAACGTAATGCAGAGAATAGCCGCGAATTGGGAAACCTCGCAAACGGACCATTCGTGCCTAAATGATAGTACTTCAAAGGAATCAGTGTAAGCTAAATATTTAAAAAATGGTAATCACAACAAGTGCATGTATCATTAATATTGGTGCTGTGGATAAAATCCATACATTTCCACATTTACAAAATAATTAGAATACAGACAAAACACTATTTTAAGTCTTTAAAACTATTAAATAACTATTTTGTCCTTGTATTTGAAATTCACTTTGGTAAATAACACTAACATTGTCTTTTCCTGTACCACCCTTAACCCCTCTCTCTCTCTTACCCACATCAGCTCACAAACATTTCTGCCCCCACCCCCACTTTATATAGTGTGTGACATACTGGGTTTTCATATTTGCATTGAGTTGGGACCGGTGCCTATTTGCCTTTCCAATTATTATTATTAAAAAATCTATGCAGAAAAAAATCAAAATTGAAAGAAAATTAGATTCCTGCATATTCAATGTAATGAAAAATGTAGTTTTCTTATGCAATATAAGCTTTGTATCAAAACCTAACAAATTCCCATCAAAAGTAAATTGTTTTCAAACTATCATTGTTAAAAGTTTTAAATCAAAGCATATGTGCTTTACCCCATCATGAAAATGTGCATAATTTTTTGAACCATGTTTCAGTAATTACAGACTTCTACCACAAGGTGTCAGCAAAGGAATATATTTCAATATAGCACTGAATCGGCTAATTCTTACTTTATTGTAAATTATTTTAAAAAAAATTTTCTTTAAATATGTGAGTGCTGAATAATAACTAATCAATTTAATGGAGTAGTATTGTGTACAAAATTGCACACTGTTAGTGTTTTTACAATACAAGGGTTACTTGTCATGTAAGAAAGAGGTGTAATTATGTTATCGGCATTTTCTGATGAAATATTAATAATAAATATGTACATATAAATAGGTAAAAAAATTAAATATAAACAATAAAAATTTAAAATTTTGTTCTTGTTAGATTGTGTGAACAACGCAATTTAGGTTTCTTTGTTAATCCCCACAATTGATCTTCCCCAGAATATATTTTCATGAGGTTTCCGATATCACAGCAAACGCTTCTTTATAAGTAGCCACTCTTAAAGTGGCTACTAATAAAGACTGGACATACCCAGAGTTGTTTACTTTGCAAATGGTGAGCCCAAATGTGGGTAATTGTCATTTCTGGACTGCCATACGGGCTCAAACGCAATATAGGCCCAGCAAAACAATCTTGGAAATTTCAATGTGGAAAAAACTGAAAACGGGGAAAACCTGTAATTTGCCCAAACCCCACAAACCCTGAACATGGAGGGTACTATTGTTCTTGTGAGACATCGCTTAACACAAATATGTGTGTTTTATTGTAGTAAACGCTAACAGTATTTTGACATTCACAGTTAAAATGCCATGCAGAACTTGAACAATAACATTTCTTATTTCTCAAACTTTTTATGTTTTATTCATAATAAATTATGTTTCATATGTGAATCTTTGATGTAAAATGAAAGCTCTGTTTCTTCTGAAAAAAAATCATATAACATAAGTGTGGGTACACTTAATATGAAATAGATAAATTATGGTTGAACAGAAAAAGTGCAAATTCCAGGTTTAGTTTTAAATAGTACTTGTACATTTGCCTCCATTCTTCAGGGGTTAACAAAATGTCCAGGTCATCTGGCAGAAAAACAGCCTCTAAACATTAAAGAGCCACCACCATATTTAACTGTTGACATGTGGTACTTTTTCATATGGCTACTTCTCTCTGTATACACCAAACCCTCTTCTGGTATTTATTGACAAAAAGCTCTATTTCATCTGACCATAGAACCTGATCCCATTTTAATTCCGATAGTGTCAGGCAAACCGGAGATGCTTGAATTTGTTTTTGGATGAGAGTAAAGGCTTTTTTTCTTGAAACCCTTGTGGGTCGTGAAAACAACTTGTGGTAATGTACGTGACATTGGATTGATGTTTTGGAGACTGTCTTACCCCAAGACACAACTAAGTTCTTCAATCATCCAGCTGTGATCCTTGGATAATTTTTGGCCACTCAAACCATCTTCCTTACAGTTTATTGAGACAATACATATGGTATAATTAGGCATTTTCAATGCTTTTGCTATTTTCTTGTACACTTTATATTTTGTGATGCTCAATAATCTTTTGCAACACATTACACCTATATTCCTCGGTCTAACTTATTTTGACAAATGAAGATAATTTGGCCTATGAGTTACCTCATTTTTATACCCCTGTAAAACTGGAAGTCATGGTCAAACAATTTCCTGGTCCTAGTCACACAGTTGTTCTAAAAATGTAAAATATATATGTGAATATACTTTTCTCATAAAAAAAGGAATTGTACCACACATATATTGAATAAAGATATTTTAGACAAACCTGTGTTGTGTTTGCAATAGTTTGATATTCATGAGAGCAGAGTATTTTTGTGTATTTTTTTAAGAAAATAACGAAAGGTTAAGCAATGAAGACAAATTTCCACAGCTTCTTTGCTCCACCAAGGGTTCCAATATTAGTGCAGGGCATTGTATTTCCCCTGCTGTAAGTCCCCTTAAATTAATACTATGCTGTAAAAACGATACTTGGGCCTTTATTATAAATAACTTTCCATTCACCCACATTTTCCAACAGCTACATTCCCACATTGTAACCTGCAAAAATGCTTAGTAACACAACCTCACATACATATTTAATGTTCCATACATATCTCAAAACCCTCAGTGCTCTCCTCTCATCATTCTCACATACACACATCCCTTCCAACATCCCACTTTCTAGATATTCAGTATATTGATTTCATGAAATATGTTTATAACCCCATTTTTCCTTACATTTGACAGAACATGGATATAGTCTTCTCGCAGATATCACAACTAAGAGATGATGTCTACTTTATTGAAAATGCTTTAAACCGCTCAAAGCAAGAACATTTCGGTGTCATTGAAACAACACCAAAGCCAACTGCGGGACTCTCAATCCAGAAGACAACAGATCATCTGTACATGGAACCTCAGAGTAGGTGTTTTCCAACTCTTTGTTATATACACAATAAACATTATATAAGAAAAATGCATAACTATTACCAAGAGAACAGAGCAGGAGATGTGTTTTAAATGAAACACAATGTACAATAAAGGAAACTAAAGAACTGTGGACTCTTTTTCAGCATGTGTGTAAGGAAGTTATGTGAGTCACAGCCGGTGGAAGTGTGCCTAAGGCTGCATAAGAAAAATAGAGTGAGTTGACTCCTGAATGGCAGAGAATTGAGAAATGAGACTGCAAGGGCATGAGCTATACACAAAAACTGCTCCATTAAGCTAAAGCTGTTATGGTGTTTAGTGTCCCTTTAAACACATGCATTTAGAGGCAAAATAAAATGTTATATGCCACATGATGACATTAATTTAATAGCAGTGCAGCACATACCCTTAACTCAAAGCAGTTAATATAAAGTTCAACAACAACAACAACAACAGCAAAAAGTTGGCATTTAGTAATTATAAAAAAAAAAGTGAGGAAGTGAGGAAGATAGACAGATCTACAAGATTAGGCAGACAGAGGCTAAGCAAGTCATAAGAGCTTCCAAGTCACACACAGAAGAGAAAACACCCCAGTCAGTAAAAAAAAAAGGGGACAAAAGATTTTTTAGATACATAAATGAGAAAAGAAAAGTAAAACAATGATTACCGTATATACTCGTGTATAAGTCGATCTCATGTATAAGTCGAGTGCAGTTTTGTGACCAACAATTGTGAAATATGCTATGCCTTGTGGATAAGTCGAGGGTAAAACTTGGGGCTATGTAATTCTGTGATTTTTATAATTATATACACACACACTCATACAAACACACACTCTGCATTATATACACACACACACTCATACAAACACACACTCTGCATTATATACACACACTCTGTGTATATAATGCAGAGTGTGTATATAATGTAGTGTGTGTGAACTGGGTGGGGGGAGGGCACTTTTATTATTTTAATTTTATTTATTTTAATATAATTTTTCTATTTTATTTTTTTTTTGTCCCCCCCCTACCTGCTTGTTAACTGGTCAGGGAGGGGGGCTATCTTAATCCCTGGTGGTCCAGTGGCATGGGCTGTGAAGTGGGGGGGCCGGCAGGAAGCATTTACTTTCCTGCAGCTCCTGTCAGCTCCTTTCTCCACCGTTCCGGTCAGCTCCACTGTAAGTCTCGCGGTCTGGTTGCCGCGCGGATCGTTGCCATGGCTCTGACGGCCGCGGCTCTCTAAATTGCCATAATACAGACAGTGACTCGAGTATAAGTCGAGTGGGGGTTTTTAAGCACAAAAAATTTGCTGAAAAACTAGACTTATACTCGAGTATATACTGTAGTTAGAGTAAAAACAAAAGAAGGAAATTATGTAGAAGAGGATAAAGGTCTAGCTGACTGCCTCAATGAATATTTTTGTTCAGTATTTACACATGAAAATGAAGGAAAGGGGCCTCAGTTCTGAAAAAGGAAAACTTTGTTACATGTGAGTTTACAGAGTAAGAGGTTCTATGTCAACTGTGAAAAGTAAAAACAAATACGTAGATGGGGCCTGATGGTATACACCCAATGTTATTAAAATAGCTTAGTGGTGTACTAGCAAAACCATTAACAAATGTATTTAACCAATCATTGCTAAGAGGAGTGGTCCCAGAATATTGTCAATTAGCAAATGTTGTGCCCATTCACAAGAAAGGTAGTAGGGAGGAGTCAGGCAACTATAGGCCAGTAAGCCTTACTTCAGTAGTGGGGGAAGTAATGGAAACCATGTTAAAGGATGGGATTGTTGAACAACAGAGACAACATGGGTTTACTTCAGGGAGGTCATGTCAAACTAATCTTATTGATTTTTTTTTATTGAGTAACTAAAATAATAGATCAAGCGGGTGCAGAAGACATTGCTTTTGACACTGTCGCACATAGAAGGCCCATCAATAAAATACAATCTTTAAGTTTGGATTCAAATATTGTTGAATGAGCTAGGGAGTGGCTGAATGACAGGCAACAGAGGGTTGTAGTCAATGGAGTATATTCGAAGCAAGGTCTTGTTACCAGTGGAGTACCTCAGGGATCTGTGCTTGGACCTATTCTCTTTAATATTTTTATTAGTGATATTGCAGAAGGTCTTGATGGTAAGGTATATCTTTTTGTTGATGATACAAGAGATATGTAACAGGGTTTATGTTCTAAGAGGGATAAGCCAAATGGCAAATGATTTGGGTAAAATAGAAAAATGGTCAGAGTTGTAGAAACTGACATTTAATGTGGATAAGTGCAAGATAATGCATCTTGGACTTAAAAACCCAAGGGCAGAGTATAAAATATTTGATACAGTCCTAACCTCAACATCTGAAAGTAATTTAGGAGTAATTATTTCATTATTTTCATTATTATGACTTAAATGTACGCAGACAATGTAATAGAGCAGCAGGAAATGCTAGCAGAATGCATAGGGAGAGGAATTAGCAGTAGAAAGAGGGAAGTGCTCATGCTATTGTACAGAGCACTGGTGAGACCGCACTTGGAGTATTGTACACAGTACTGGAGATCGGATCTTCAGAAGGATATTGATACTTTGTAGAGAGTTCAGAGAAGGACTACTAAACTAGTTAATTTATTACAAGATAAAACTTGCAAGGAAAGCTTAAAGGATCTTAACATGTATAGCTTGGAGGAAAGACGAGACAGGGGGGATATGATAGAAACATTTAAATGCAGAAAGGGAATCAACACAGTAAAAGAGAGGACTATATTTAAAAGAAGAAAAACTACCACAGCAAGAGGACATAGTCTTAAATTAGAGGGGCAAAGGTTTAAAAATAATATAAGTATTAGCTCGGCATAAGGCTATCCTAGACTTAAGATAAGGACAGGGACTAACAAGAGTATTTAGAAAATTGAGCAGACTGGATGAGCCGAATGTTTCTTATCTGCCGTCACATTCTATGTTTCTATGTACCATATATTAAAATTAAAATCATGATACATTACTTGAAAATAAAAAAACATCAAGGAAACTTCTAGTCTGCATACTGCGAGATAACGTTTCAGAAGTACATCAGAAAAATGAAATGTTATGAAGCATACACACAGAATTTAAGCATAGCAGAAATGTACACTGGAATAAGGCTGCTGGTAAAGCTCGGGACCAAATGAACAAACACAACCTACCCTACAAATGTTTAGATAATAGTTCTGTATTACATCTTATCAGCATTGTGCACCCATTTACTGGAGAAAACAAAAAAAGTTTCAATGCTGAAATAAAAAAATATATATATACTAGCTGATGCAGATGTACAGTAACCTAAAAACTGTCCTATGCAGATATAGAGAATGATTGCACATACTTCTGTTAACAAATATAATGCCTGACCATGTGCACTACTCTGTGCAACATATACAATGAGCTTTTCATTGCTCTGTACAAATAGAAAGCTCACATGTTCTCTCTATGCATTTCTAGGGAATACATGTAGTGATATAAAAGATATATGGTATACAAAGCTTAGTATAAACATAAAGATTTAAATTAAATTGTGTGCATAAATAAAAGCACATATTATACATAATGAAGTAATGATATAAGCTTCCATTCCATTCCACACATTGTATTTTAATAAAAAAAAATTGATTGGGTGAGTTCTGAAATAGTGCCAAACTTCAATGATTTATGACATGATTTATGTCCTTAAGTGATAGCCTTTCTATGTCCTTAAATGACAGCCTTTTGTTCCCATTTTCTTAATATCTCTCCCACGTGTTTTAATGCCAATCTTCCATGCATGTTTTCGTGTTTTCCTTGCCATTTTCCCCATATATTCCATGACAACCTCTCGATTCATTTCTATGCCATTTTCTCCTTTGTTCTCTAAAACAGAATCAGTTTCACTGTGTTTTTCCAAGCCATTTACATTTGTTCATTTACAAACCAGATTTTCCTGTGTATTTTAACAGCAGATAGCCCTTTGCGTTTCCATGCCAGTGTTTCCTGGGTGTGCCCATGCCAGCTTCACCCTTGTGTTACATTTTTTTTTTTATATAAATGCGGGTTATTTGCAAATGAACAGTGGCTATTTCACCATGCATGTTGAATACAACTGTATGAAAAGTAAATAATATAACATGTTATAGACCAGAACTGCAAAATGATTTTCATATGGATTTATTGTATGTATACAGATACAGTTACTATGGATATTGACTGTGTTCTAATTGTTCTAATGATGTGGAAGAAAAAACTCCTTGCTAAACTATTCATTTCCTCTCCAACGTACTTTGCTTATCAGTTATATTCAATATGCCATCTGTTTCTTGTATGCAGTGATATACAACCAGAATCATTAAAGCCAATAATTATTGTGCGTGTATAGTTCATATCTATATTTGAAATTAATATTGTGAAGCACAATAGGGAAAGGTATTTGAACAATGTAATTGTTCAGAGCGAGAGGTTGTGCTGTTAAAGATAGTCTTAAACTTGAAAGAGAAACTGGATAGTATAGTATGATAAGCAAACAATATTAAACAGAGTAATGATATTGTTATATCTGCTATAGGTTTAAACACAGAAATATAACACAGAAAAATAAACATTTATGTCATAAAAACATTTTGCTCTTTTAGTGCCAGATCTGTTCTTCACATGGTAACAGCCCAACAAAAAAAAGATATGCATTGTTGTGGCATTCCAATGTAATATAAGTGACATCCCTCATGTTTTTTTCAGTGTCTTCTGTATTTTCTTTTGTAACGTATTACTAATTAGTATTGAACATTCAAAGTTCAGCTTTAACTGCACTAACTTTTTCCATGATGCAAAATGAAATAGTACTGCGAATGTGATTGTTATCAGACTGATATGTAAATAAAATAGATTTCTTCTGTAACCATGCAAGCAAGATAAAACGTTTGGCAGCTTTCTCCTGAATAAGATAAAAATATAGGGCACAGACATTTTTTTTATTTTTTAAAGGTGAAATATTTATTTAGTCTTCAGAGAAATTATGTCTGTTCTTATTGTCTTTTTATGCTTTTTATTTTTAATGTTTATTTTTGTGTAGAGCAATAAATGTTGATGCCTGGACTCTGCTGGATCTCCATTTTTTTTTTTTTTAATTCTTTATTTTTGTTTCAACACCAAGTGCCACTTAACAACATGAAGTGGCCCGCGCAGGGGCCTGTCATCAACATATAATGCAATTTGTTGTACAGAGAAGATTTAAAGGTATGTCAGGTGGATCTCCATTTTTAATAGTCACTATATGGTAAAAAAGTATCCATTTGCAGAACAGGGAGAGTTATAAACCTTTATTAAAAAAAAAGAATGATCTTTTTATTTTAAAATTGTTAAATTGTTCAATGTAATATGTTTCAATAGAATATTATTTTTGAAAAATCAAAACCATATACAGGTGGTCTTCACACTTGTGACCTACCTACTTTGACTGCTCGGATTACGAATTCGAGGGATTCCCCATGTTAGATAGCTGGTCTATGTTTGTGGGATTTTCCCCGAACATAGATTTGCAGGATTCCCTGCGCTACTGAGCTAATCTATGTTCAGGGAATTTTTCCAGAACATAGACTTGTGGGATTCCCTGCGCTAGTGAACTGTTCAGAAATGTTCAGTGGACTGAGTCGTAAGAACGGAACCCCGTCGATAAGTAAGGACTGTCTGTACTGATTGAATTCAATTTAGGACATGTTTTTAATGCATCAATTTACTAAACCACAAACCAGAAGAAGACTGGGAACACATTGGATTTATTTTGCCTTGGATTGTATTCAAATGTGCCTAGTCTTTTGTTTTGTGGATTACCTTGGAGTGAAGTTCCAGCCTTGACAGTTAGATTTCTCTTGATTTGTGTGCATCTTCTCATCTTTTCTTTTTTTTTCCTTTTTTTATCATGAATTTTGTTCATTAACAGTTGTATACATTAGTAGAAAAAGTTATTGTACATTTGACAATATAACATTTCAATCATCGTTACAGCAATCATGTTTGGTACATTTATACACAGCTTGTAAACATTGTAACTGATCTCTAGGATGTATGTCTAGGATGTGTAGACACCATGTGAACAAATTTCTCTTATAAGAGAAAAAAGAAGAATTAGGAAAAGTAAGGAGTGAAGAGAGGACGGGAGAGGAAGGATTAAGGAGTTTCTTAGTACCCAGCAAAGCCTAACAGAGATTGGCAAGTAAAGTTACAGCGATCTAAGCTACCCCCCCCCCCACCAAGCTTTTTCATTATACAGAATCATCCAGTTTTTTTAGGTTTGCTTTGTGTGATTGAATGATGAATGCAATATTCAAGTTACAACTTTTCCCTCTTCACATCATGTTCATGTATCATTTGGGCGCATATCATGCGCACAACTGTTATGACTTCGAGGGCATGTGGGTTATGGGTTAGTGAGACAATTTGCTTCATCCCAGCTAGTCCAGGCTACTTTCCAAGTCTTGCTTTGTTGGTAGCTCGTCTAGTCGATATTTGAGATAGTTTATTGGTTTCAATAAGTTGTAGGCATTCTTCCAATGTAGGGGGTGTTTTTTCTCCAATTCCTACTGATGACCATACGCACTGCAATGTTTATATGGTATATGAGGTAAAGCAAGATAAGTTATTTTTAGGGTGTAGTTCTGTAGTAGAACTCTATATATCAGATCTGCTACCCTTTTCCAATAATTCACTATTTGTGGGCATGCCCACCATATGTGGAGCATATCTCCAAGCCCGTCTTGACATCTCCAACATTGGTCAGAGATGCTAGGGTGCATACTATGCAAGCGCTTTGGTACCAAATACCATCTTTATAAAATTTTCCTTGAGAGCTCTGTTTGGCGTATAGTGTACGTTTTTTATTAGAAGAAAATATTAATGATTAATATTCAGCCCAGCGTAAAGTATTGAAATAATTTTTGTTGCTGGTGCCTGTTTCGTCAGTATTTTCTCAAAGTTCCTCAGCTGCTGCATATTTACACTGCGCCACTCTGGAATATAGTGTTTCAGTAACCACATTTTTAATTGTAGATAAGAGAAGTGAGCTACACTTGGGAGGTTATGGCTTTGTTGTAGATGGGCAAATGCTATAACCTTATTATCATGGATCAATAGGTGGACATAGCATATGTCATGTCTTTCCCAGATTCGAGAATTAAGATTAGGTATAATGTATTGAAGTGTGGAGATTGTCAATGACGGGGAGTACAGGTCATGAGAGCAGTACCTGTGTCTGTGTGTGTTCCATACATGCCTTGTGAAGGCTGTCATAGGAAGTATGGGTATCTGTCTAGGTCTAAGGCAGTTGGGTATCCACATCAAGGAGGAAAAATGATGGCCCCTTGTTACTGTTGATTCAATGCCTACCTATTGTGGGGGTTGTCTCTGCGTCTGAGCCAGCACCAGTAGAGTAATATTGGCTGCTAAGTAATAATATTGAATATTCGGTAGGCTCATGCCTCCCTTTGTGAAGTGGAGGTACAGAGTGGATGCAGAGACTCTCGGTCTTTTGTCTGCCCATATGAATTTGTATATTAGTGTAGCGGAGAGCGGGTCTCTCACAGACTATCTCCGCTGGTAATCCAAGTGAGGCTCAGGAACAAGTAGTTATACCCAAGAGAATAATTTCCACGGTTAGTAAAGTAATCCAAAAGTATCCCATCATGGTTCCCAATGACTGGACGACACACAGCATCAGGAGCAAAACTGGACTTTTATTCCACACATCCTTCTTTTAAGCATTTCTCCCATGCAAGGGAGGTACCCACAATAATTAGTACAGTAGCCAATCATTTACACGTTACCTCCCACACATCTCCTCCCCTCAGTATGACACATAATCCACTTATACAGTATATGGTTTCACCCGGTTTTCAGATGTACCCCAAATATGCTAGGTACAATTATACATGTTATATTCCCTAATAGCCCTGATCTGGATGAGCAACATATTAAAAAATCACCCAGATCGGACCAGGGGTTCGGGAGTTAGGTGGAAATAGAGATTTGACCGACCGCACACGAGGTAGTATCCGAAAACACTTCCATGTGTTTTGGCCTTGCGGTCGGTCTTGGTTCGGGAGATAAAAATCACGAAAATCCCTGCCATCCAGGGCTGAGCTGGGGTTCGCATGAATAACCTTGTTCGGTAGATCCATTTAAACGAATGATAGACTGATGGGTTATTCTGTTCGGTAGTTCTGGAGCCATGGAAGTCTCAGCGGTGTTTGGGTAATCGAGTGTCCGATTTGGGTTCCAGACACTCAACGACTAAACACCACTGAGCGTTTGTATGCCGAATGGCGGCCACCCAGAAAGCCCACACGGGGGATTTTGTCAATTGTCAATTAGCTTGTGGTTACACTGGATTAGGGGGGTAAATGAGAGGCACACTTATCCCTAGGGTGGTCTGATTGTTCAGTAGTTTCATTCGTATGATGAACGGAATGATTTTACCGAACAATCAGACAAATGCTGCATACACTATCAATACACATAGCAGGAAATAACCGAAAGTACATTATAACACACAATTTTGCAGACAGCCCAATGCCATCTGCTACAATTAGCTTTTGGCTTTCTGTGAAGTATTTAGTTGGCACCTTGATTGGTAGTGTTCTGAACAGATACTGGTATTTAGGAATAGCTATCATCTTAACCGCGGCCATACTGCCTGAGCAGGAAATAAATGTATTTTACCAGCTTGTAAGGAGTTTCTTAATGTAATTTTGTAGACTTATGTAGTTTGCCTTGTACAGTTTATCTATGGAGTTGGTAAGTTTAATTCCCAAGAATGTTAAATGGTCAGTTGTCTGTGTAAGTGTGTGCAAAGAGGCATGGAAGGCATTAAAACTCATGGCCTGGGTTTTTGTAATGTTTAGTTTATAGTAAGAGCAGTGTCTAAAATGGCTGCAAACCTAGAGACTAGAGTTATGAAGGGTGAGGAGAATGTCGTCCTCAAAAAGTGTTAGTTTGTACTCTCGTTGGTGAATACGTACTCCAGGATGGTGGATCATTGCGAATTAAGTTAAGTGGTTCTAATTCCAATATGTACAATAAGGGTGACAGTGAGCATCCCTGCCTAGAACCATTACTAATACTAATGCCAATGATACAAATCCTCTATTGGTGACTCTTGCCGCTGGGTTGCTATATAGCACCTTAACCGCCATGGGTAAGGCTGGTGGGAACTGGAACTTTTTTAACACCGCAAGGAGGAAGGGCCAGTGCAGCCTATCAAAGACTTTTTCAACATCCAACAAGAGGAATACACAGTCCACCCCCCCCCGCCCCGCCCCGCAAGCTGTGCATCAAGTCAATAACCTTAGTCCCATCCACTCCCTGACGCCCCTTAACAAACCCCACTTGGTCATCATGGACAATGGTGGGAATGATATATGATAGTCTATTAGTGAAAAGTTTCACTAAGATTTTAATATATCTGTGTTCAGGAGTGATATTGGCCTTAAATTTTGAACCCTATTTGGTATTTTCCCTGGTTTGGGCAATGTCATGATGTGTGCCATCAGCATTTCAGCTCGTGTGTCTCCAGAGGCTAGCAGCTATTGAAAAGTGTTCAAGAGATGTGGGGCGAGGGTGGAGGAGAAGGCTTTATAGTATGGATTTGACAGCCCATCAGGGCCAGGCGATTTCCCAGATGGTAGGGCATCGATGATGGTAATGATTTCCTCAACTGTGATGGGGGATTGTAGCAGTGTTTGTTGGTCCATTGTAAGGGTTGGGAGGTTCATTCTCTCCAGAAAGTCAGAGATCTCAGTGTCAGTTGGTTGGTGGGTATGTGCATCAGATTTTAAGTTATATAGCTTAGTGTAGTATGTTGCCAGTTGGTCAGTGATGTGTTGGGGGTTATATATTTTCGTGTCATCCGGCTGCAGAAGATAAGGTATTTTGGAAGAGGCCTGCTGTTTACGTAACCGTGAAGCGATGAGCTACCCTGCTTTATTTCTGTGAGCATATTCCCTAACTTTCAGTCTTTGCAATATGTGTGCTGTTTTAGTCATATGAAGTTCATTGAGGGATTTGGTTATTGTATCTGTGGAGTTTTGCAGTGCAGTTGTGGGGGTTAAATAGTGTCTTGCAGATGCATCTCTCAGAGCTAGTTAGAGTGACAGACGTTGAGCAGATGTGGCTCTCTTGCGATGTGATGCTTGGCTAAGGAATAGGCCTTACACAACCGTTTTATGTGCCAACCATTGAGTGAAGGTGGATGTATACATGGTAGTGTTAGTAGCAAAGTATGCCTGTATCTCTGCGTCTACTTTCCCCTTAAACTGTTCGTTGTATAATAATGTGTCATTAAGTTTCCAGGATGTGCGCCCCCTTGTAGGGAACTCCTCAGTGATGGTCAATAGGACCAGAGCATGGTCCGATCATACTATGTCTCCCATGGTGCAGTGCGTCGTTCTACAAAGTATAGGGGCAGAGGTAAGTACATGATCAATGCGAGAGCAGGTTTTGTGTGCTGGAGAGTGGTGCGAGTAAGTTCGGTCAGAAGGGTGGAGGGTTCTCCACACATCTTATAATTGAAATTCAGTTATGAGTTTAGTTATGGTTTGACATTGTGTTTTAAGGCTATTGTTTCTGACTTTAGAAGAGGAATCTAGATTGTGGTCTAGTATATGATTCAGATCTCCGCAGATGATTATCTAGTCTGTGTGGGGAGTCCCTATTTTGTTTAGGACTTTATGGAGACAGTTCCTTAGTTTGGTATTAGGACCAGTGGTGTATCCTGGTTTTGTGCTGCCCTAGGCAGGACAAAACTCAGGCGCCCCCCTCCCCCCGCGTCACCCCCACCCAACCCTTCCCCCCGCCCCACCTTCTAAATACACACAAACACACACACACACACACACAGTCAGACAAACACATACACAGTCAGACACATACACAGACACAAACACAGTCAGACACAAACACACACACACAGTCAGACACAAACACACACAGTCAGACACACAGTCAGACACAAACACACACACACTACAAACACACAGTCTGACACAAACACACACACACAGTCAGACACACACAGTCAGACACACACACAGACACACACACACACAGTCAGACACAGATACACACAGTCAGACACACACACACAGACACATACACACACAGTCAGACACAAACACACACACACACAGTCAGACACATACACAGACACACAACACATACACACAGTCAGACACAAACACACACACACAGTCAGACACATACACAGACACACACATACACAGACACACACACACACAGTCAGACACATACAGAGACACAAACACATACAGAAACACAGTCAGACACAAACACACACACACACACAGAGTCAGGCACACACACACAGTCAGACACACACACACATTAACTTTTTTTTTTAATTTAAATCCCCCCCCCCCAACCTCCTTACCTTTGGGAGTGCTGGGGCTCTCTCCCTGGTGGTCCGGTGGTCCAGTGGCTGCAGGTCGAGCGGGCGGCGCTGGCAGGCGGGTGGCTGGCGAGGGAGCACTTCCCCTGAGCTGACTGCTCAGCTCCCTCGCGCGCCGGCTGCAGAGTGAGGCTGGGAGCCGGAATATGACGTCATCTTCCGGCTCCCAGCTTCACTCTGCGGTGCGCGAGGGAGCTGAGCAGTCAGCTCATAGGAAGAGCTCCCTCGCCAGCCACCCGCCTGCCAGCGCCGCCCGCTCGGGATGTCAGTTAGCCGCGAGGCTAACATGACATTTGCCCTGGGCATTTGGGGGGCGGCGTTTTTTGCCGCCCCCTGAAAAATGCCGCCCAAGGCAAATGCCTTGTTTGCCTCGCGGCTAATACGCCCCTGATTAGGACTGCACACATTTGCTATTATGTATTCTGTGTCATTGATTTTACAGGTGAGTATTATATAACTGTGTTGACTATCAACTTTGCGCTTAAGAAATTCAAATGATAGAGATTTGTGGAGAAGGATTGATGCCCCCCTTGACATGGATGTGTGGGCAGTGTGGTATTGTATAGGATAATCTCTGGTACCAAAGGATGGGATTTTGAGTTTAACAAAGTGCGTTTCTTGAATACATAGGATGTCACCTTTGATCTGGTTTGCCTCGTCCATAAGTATTCTTCGCTTATGTGTGGTGTTTAAGCCCCGTACGATGTGTGAGTAAAGCTTCATAGTTGGGTGGCATTCAGGGACTGCTTATGTGTTCCCAGTTTCTCATGAGCTATGAAGCCAAGGTACCAACGATGGAAGTCAGGGATGTGGATAAGTCCAGCTGTATCCACATCTCGTGGAGGGATCAATTGTAATTGCGGCTCTGAGTGCCATAGTTGTTCAAATAGGTAAACCTACTCTCGGGGGAAGGTGAAAGGGTGAGGGGTTATCCGGGAGAGAAAAAGCACAAATAAAGAAGTAAAGAAAGAAAAACAACAAATAAAGAAAGTATATGCAATAAGTCCCGCTGGGGGGGGAGTAGTGCAGTCCTTGTGCACTGTGGGGTAAGGTGGACTGGTATGTCCTAGCGTGGTGACTAGTTGGGCTTTGGGGGTAAACAATATGTATGGAGAACTACAGTGATCATAAATGTTGCAGCATAGGTTAGTAACTTTTTTTTTGTTGTTGTTTTGTTTTATACTGTCTTTATATCTATATAGCACCTCAACCTCAATGGGTAGAAGTACTCTTCACTTAAGTGGAGGCACATACCCCTTTGGGCTTACCAGGAGCAGCTGCATCCCTACCCAGTCTGACTCCCCTAGAGCAATAAACACCAGATACTTATCAAACTCAGCATGTACTATGAGTTGTAGAGCAAACACCAGCTGAAACGGCTACTCAAGTGTACTAGAGTCAATAAAATCCATCAGCCTTAACGTGTAACATAAATATAATTGGGTGAATTATAAGTGGAAACAAAATCTCTGTCATAATTGCAGTCCGCTTGGTACAGGAGCAAGTTTTGGTCCCAGTCATGGTAATCAGCGCCCAGTCCAAGACCATTCCAAGAAGAGCCGGTGTCTTGCGCCCGGCGAGGCTGGGATTTGTGGTAGTCAGAGTCCCCTCTTTGCCAAGATAGTCAAACCTTCCTCCGGGGGATGCAGGGCCATGATGGTTCCATTTCTTATGGCCAGGAGCTTAGTTGGGTATCCCCATCGGTACCTGGTGTTGTTGCTCTTGAGGGTGTCAATGATCTGGTGGAAGTTGCGGCGCCTCCTCAGTGTGGCCGCGTAAAGTCTTCATTGAAGCATAGTCGGTGTTTTTCAATATGATTTCCTTCACATGGTAGTAGTGGGCTCGCAGTAGGACATCTCGCGGAACTGTTGCAGCCAGGTGTGTCAGCTTAGGCACTCGATGTAACTGGTCCATCAGCAGCATGTCGGTAGGCACTTCAGGTGCGAGCACACTGAACAAACCGTGGATGTAAGTAGGTAGCTCCGCTGCCTCTACAGACTCTGTGATGCCCCTCAGCCGTAAGTTGTTTCGACGCGATCAATCCTCAGCGTCCATCATTTATTGTCCATGGAGGTAAGTTGTTGTTCCAGCCATTGGACATGATAAGCTAAATCATTATGAGCTGAGGCAAATTTGGCCATCTTGCTTTCGTTATGGGATGCCCGTGCTCCCAGCTCTTGGATGCCTTTGTGCAGTGTGTCCACATGCGAGGACCACAAGGAGTTTGTTTGGCAGACAGGGAGTCCAGCGCCTCCTGTAAGTATGTTGGGGTTAGGTGTCTGTCCACAACAGGACAGTCCACTTCCAAAGCAGGGTTACTGTCTTCTGATAGGGCTCCGCCATCTTGCAGGCATGGCCTGCACAGCCAGGGGCATAGGAATAGGTTTTTGGTCGAAGAAATTTAATTTTTCAGACGTGGCTGTGGACCTCTTTCCCTGCGACATACTTGTGGTCAGGTGTGCAGTTATACCGGATAATTTTCCTAATTTCACCTTTGTTGAAGTCCAGACGCCAGAGCACAGATTAAAGCTGCATTATTGTTCGGCGGTTAGCCACGCCCCCCATCTTTTCTTTTTCAGTTGTACATTTTTAGTACAAAGAGTAACACATACTGTCAGGTTAGGTAGGTAAAATCACAAAATGAGGTACTGTGAGCATATTGTCATCCATGTAGCAATAGTAAAAAAAATGTCTTTAAAATACCAATATAGGTAAATCCAGTACAGACTTGGGGATTTGTTTCTGAATGAACTGCAATTTTGCTAAAATTGGACTAATCGGATGTTCTGAAGAACGTGGCAGAATATTGGATGAACCGTCTCATTCAAGTCCAAACATATTCATTTTCAATCATGATTCATTGTGCCACTCCTGGCACTAGAAAAAAGAGGGATGGAATTGATATTGGAATTGCTTGGCCTGCATGGGAGTCATTAGGTAATTAATTATGGTGTGAGATTAGCCTTAGTTTAATACTGTATTTAGCAGCTAGAACTGCCAGGGGCACTATAAAAAAAGCTTTGAGTGGGGTATAGGAGATTGTCACTTTGGTTGACAGGCATCTTGTCATTCATCCTTGTGCGAGACTTGTTTATTTTTTTTGCAAACAGTTTTAAGGAATGAAAATCCTTCCTTTTGGGACTGTGGTGTCAAGAAAAAATAATAATTTTGCCTTGCCTGGTCATTGATTTTACAGTGAGTATAGCTTTATCTTTAAGTTGCATCTATTTCTTTCAGCTAATACTAACAGAAGTCATAGAGAAAACTTTGAGTAGGAGATAGGGGACTGTCAGTTGGCAGGAATTGTGTCAGTCATCCAAGTGGGAGAATATTTTACCAATATACAGTTGTTAAAAATATTTTTTTTTATTACCTTGAGGAACGATAATCCTTCCATTGAGGACCGTGGTTTCAGGAAAACAACTCCTTTTGCCTATCATGTGTCTTTGACCCTATTGCAACCCTTAACTTAACAATATACCGTTATTAAAAGTTATTGTTTTTATATTTTTGTTAATTGTTTGGAAAGAAAAACCTTTCTTTGAGGTCCACGTTGTCAGGGTAAAATAATATTGATACTATTGTGACACTAGAGGCATATTCAGGAGAAAGATTAGTAGCAAATCTGCTGGCCTTAAGAATACAATTGTGCATATAAAAAATATATATATATATAGTATGAAATAGTGACCCACACTCAACATTGTGGCATGCACAATATTTATCAAATACACTAATTTCCCCAAGGACTAGAACTTCCACAATGAATAGAAAACAGTAGGGATAGGGCAAATTATAGAGGCTATAAAGATAACATACAATAATAGTGTGGTTCCCTTTAACACCACAAGTGCATAGAAAAAAATTGCACTGACAAACATACATTTGTTAGTTGACAGAAAATGAAAATGAAATCCATGGAATATCCCACAGTTATCCCACAGAGACTAATTAGAACTGAGAAAGTTATGTATCTATACGAAAACCGCAGACTAATTGAATGCTCCTAGGTGGCCGCTATTTTGTGCATATGAATACATGTGGTGAGAACAATAGGTGGCGGCCATCTTGTCTCCCAAACGCTGCCTACGGGACTTGGTCGTCGAGTGCCTGGAACTGTTTTCAGCAACACACTCGCACGAACACCGGTCTCTATGTTCCATTTCCCAGCAACTCAAATGGATGGCGTTCGGGAGTTTCAAACTACCGAACACAGGGAGCATTCTCCATGAACCAGATTTAATCTATTTATTGTGGTTTTCATATAAAACCCTCACAAACAGAGACCAGCTCTTGCTACATTTCTTCTGGAACTGTTTCTAGGCTTCAACCTCATGGCAGACCGGTCAACTCTCCCTGCGGTGCCATTCGATAACTACCAAACGGATTTGGCAATTTTTTTTATATGTTGCTCCCACAGAGACAGACTACCCAGGGACTTTTGTGGAGTTCTTATGTATTTTGGGGGTATTTCGAGATATTGTGAAAAATTTTACTTTTTCTGACCAGAGGATAATTGAGTTTAGTATGTTCCGTAAACTCCATTATCTCGCTGGCTCAGAGGAGGTGTTATACACTGTATAAATTGAATGCCTGTGTTCTTATTAAACAGTCTTGTCCAAGCATTAAGCTTTTGCTTATTATGCAACACCAGCGATATTGGAACCTGTGAATTATTGGCGTATTATTTTATGGGAAAAGGGTATGGAAGATGGTGATACCTTCTCAGACCGTCACACTTGGCATCTCCTAAACCCTCTTTGAAATTTAAGTTAATTCCCTTTCAGAGGGAGAAATACATTGCTGGCCATCTTATGGCCTATGTATTTATCCTTGCTGGCACTCCCTGTGATTATTAGGAACCCACATTTATTTATTTATTTTCTATTTAATTTTAGTGTGAGCATAAGTAATTACAAATATGTACAAAAGTAACCTTTATTAAATGTTAAATAACTCTTAAAAAAACAACACACAGTGAAATCACACAATGGATAGTGAAATTATATGGTGGGTGGAGAGATGAAGGAGAACATATTTATTAATATTAATATTCATCTATCGCACACACTTTGGGGACAAAGTATGTTAAATATTCCTAATCAAAAAGGGAGAAGAATTCACGGCGTATATAATGATGTTCGATAAGAAATTATTGACCTTCATCCTTATGCATTACTATTTCCTCTTTGACAACTCCTTCTACCACCAGGTGAGAGGTAGGCCATGTGGGCATGACTTGTGCACCATCATATACTAACCTACACCTGGGTTGAAGGGAGCAGACATGGCAGAATTAACTAAATCTACATATCTCTGGAAGACAGACACAAAGAGGTGGTTCCTTTAGTTCCTGGAGGCTCTTAACAATAGCCTGATTTTAAGATTCACCAATGAATTTGGAGGTAGGGAGATTAACTTCCTTTATATGAATGAGTCCTAGGACCAACCCTGGCCTACAGCCATGAACATCTTGTTATGGTAGGACCAAGGCTGCCATAAGAAATTTTGAGGCCCCTTTACACAGCTGCCCAACAAAAATAAAACAATGAATGTGATCCAGGTAGGTGAGAAGTAACCAGGTTACTTTCTGGAATTTGCCCAGGACAGTAGGTTCCATAGTGGCACAGAGAGTAACATGCACAGACACAAAGTGGGAAACAGTGGTTGAAGTCCCACCAGAGGCAGTAGGTTTCCTGACAAGCAAAGGAACCTGAAGAAGAGCATTTCTTCTGGATATAAAGAATGAAGACTTAAAGCTTAGTGGGGATAATTGAATGATTTAAAGGAAGACTATAGGGTCAATAAAACAAACATGTGTTCCTGACCCTATAGTGCTAAACCCACCATATAGGTGGCTTGCCCCCAATTAGCCCCTTAAAAGAAATTAAAACTCACCTTATTTCCAGTGTTGCGTGGGACTTCCAGCACTGGTCCCACCCCCTGGTGACATCAGCAAGGGGGCAGGGCCAAACACAGTATGGGCCAATCAGCACCATCAAACACAGTATGGGCCAATCAGCAATGCATCTTTTTGAGGAAAATTCAGCATCCCCATATAGTGTGTGGAGACGCTGAACGGCAGTGCTGCCTGCTGTGCAGCACTGTCCCAGGAAGCACCTCCAGTGGCCATTTGAGGAGTGGCCACTTGGAGGTGTTCCTAGGGGCAATGTAAACACTGCCTTTTCTTTGAAAAGGCAGTGTTTGCATTAAAATGCATGAAGGCAATGATTATACTCACCAGAATAAATACATTAAGCTATAGTTGTTCGGGTGACTATAGTGTCCCTTTAAGTACCGTATATACTCGTGTATAAGTCGATCTCATGTATAAGTCGAGTGCAGTTTTGTGACCAACAATTGTGAAATATGCTATGCCTCGTGGATAAGTCGAGGGTAAAACTTGGGGCTATGAAATTCTGTGATTTTTATAATTATATACACACACACTCATACAAACACACACTATGCATTATATACACACACACTTATACAAACACACACTCTGTATTATATACACACACACACTCATACAAACACACACTCTGCTTTATATACACACACTCTGTGTATATAATGCAGAGTGTGTATATAATGCAGAGTGTGTGTTTGTGTAGTGTGTGTGAACTGGGTGGGGGGAGGGCATTTTGATTATTTAAATTTTTTTTTTTTTATATTATTATTTAAAAAAAAATTTTGTCCCCCCCTGCCTGCTTGTTAACTGGTCAGGGAGGGGGGCTATCTTAATCCCTGGTGGTCCAGTGGCATGGGCTGTGAAGTGGGGGGGCCGGCAGGAGGCATTTACTTACCTTTCCTGCAGCTCTTGTCAGCTCCCTTCTCCTCCGTTCCGGTCAGCTCCACTGTAAGTCTCGCGGTCTGGTTGCCGCGCGGATCGTTGCCATGGCTCTGACGGCCGCGGCTCTCTAAGTTGCCATCATACAGACAGTGACTCGAGTATAAGTCGAGTGGGGGTTTTTAAGCACAAAAAATGTGCTGAAAAACTAGACTTATACTCGAGTATATACTGTATACATCTTTTGGGGTAATTAATTTATAGTGGACTTTCTTTACTTCTTTGTAAATATTTTTTAGAGGAAACAAATATTTCCTTTACCTTCTTTACTGAAACCTCCAGCAGCAAAGAAATAGTTAACATAACTCTTCAGAAACAACCAGAAATCAGAAAAAAGAACATTAGAACAAAACTCCCAGGTAGATCCTCCCACTTCTTTATTTGATGATGTCTAGCAGGAGATTATGAAACCAACAGTCAACCAGAAGCTGGCACAACCAAACGAGAACTAGAAGAACTAGAAGAAGTTCCAATCAAACTGCAAAGACGGGGGGAAGGGGGAAAGAATATTTGCCTCCTGTCCTTGATAAAATGTAGGTTATTCATATTACCAAGGCTAGAATAATCCCTAATTTTATGGCAAGACACCCACCATAAAGGCAGAAGAAGCATGGGAGCATGGTCGAAAATAAAACGTGTGAAAAGTCAACTCCCTAGACAAATCTGGAGACCCGTCATTCAGAGCATCATCAGCCATTAGAAATATCTAAATCAGCAGGCCGCTGATATCAAGGGGTTTGCCTTGGTGGAACATAGACCCTGTTCCAGGCCCTTGCGTAAATCCTTCAAGGAATGAATCATGAATGTGGCAAACACCGGGTCGAAATCAGGGGTAATAGTCACTTTAACCAGGAGTGTTGGACAAGAGCACTCTGCATGAAGCTTCGTCCTGACTTCCTTATCCAGAGGATGGCAGAGCCAATACCTGGGGACCTCCACAATGTGACCGGGTGGTGCCCACTTGAAGGAGCATGGGTGCTTGAGGAGACGTAGGTTGAAGAGAGGCCTTTCTGAATGGGATCGTCAACAAGGGTCGACTGAGGTCTCAGAGCATCAGCCAGGGAGAAGTTGACCACCATCTTTTTAACATAGTTTTAGAAACAACCAAAGGTCCCCACGCTGGGATAAATATCGACCAAGCTGCCAGCCCTGTATTCATCCAGGACATCGTAATCAGAAGTCCCTGACAAGGTTTAGCCAATTTGACATGCAATTTCCCATTCTCAGCAGAGGTGCTCTGGCCTTTCCAGGGTCATCTGCACATGGAGCTCATCTCCAGGGAGTGGAGAGAACCGTCTGAATCAGAGCCTCTAGGGCCAGGAGTGAGAGTATGCTGCAAGGCAGAAGGGGGGCATCCCATGGATGGTTTTAAACATATTAGGTAGAGAGTCCACGATAGTGCACATTAAAGGGTGAGTCGTTGGCCATAGTAGCTCCACTGAAATGGAGAAAATGCACAGGTCAGTGCAGTAGAGGGAGCACGGTCGGACAAACTGCTCAATGTGTAGTGCATAAGTGGTATGATCCCCACACAGGATTCTTTTGAGTAGTCCTCAGGTATAAAAGTAGCCAAAATACCATTAACAATATTACTGAGCTACCATACAAATGTATACAAGGATACAAAGTCGTTAATATACAGTTTAAAATCGTACGTGCTTTTAAGCACTTTCGGACAGATACTGCAACATACTCAAAGTGTATACTTTTGAAACAAGCATTGCTTTTTCTATTACCTAAAATATACTTTGTTATATACTGACTTTGCGAGCCACGCACTAAAATTCATTCAGGGATCTCTTTTAAATAATATTTAAATATTAGAAATGCATATATTACAAATTATTATATGTATTATATCATATATTCTTATATAATTTCAGCTATGCAGACTCTATCAGAGATGAGAACTGTGATGCAATCAATTTCAAAACCAAATGATGTTTTAGAAACAATTGATCAATTATCAATTCCTTTTCTAAAGAGTCGACAAGGTGAGATTATCACACTTATTTTTGTAATTTATACAACTGACTAAACTACCCTATGTACAGTATATATACGCAGTAGGATTTTGATTGTAAACTTAATCTTTAATTGCTGCATGTTGACAGATTATTTATATCACCCACCTTCTAATTCAGTGGATGGCAACCTATTGTAAATGTTCCATGCATGGCATACATGGTGCCTTTGAATGGCATGCAAGGCTTCCTATATCCAGATGGCCCAGATGGAGAGATCAGTGGATCAGCCCAGCACCTGGAGTGCAAGGAAACCTCTGGTCTGCCTCCAGAAGGTGCAAACACCACAGAGTATTCTCATTTGCAATCTGGTACTTATCAGTGATTCAGAATGTTGCCATTGGTTACCATCGCAATGCTCTAACTCACTGCTAAAGGTCTAGACCAGGGGTTCCTAACCCGTGGTATGCGTACCCCCAGAGATACAATTCCAAGCCTCTGAGGGTTCATGAAAAGAAATTATTAATGGCGGCAGTGCAGCTGCATCACACGGGCTGGGAACATGGGTAAAGGTCCATCAGGTGGCCCATGCACTCAGGGCCACCTGATGGAAATGTGCCATGAGGGGCCGGGTTGTGCACTTGTAATGTGCAGGGAGAGCTGCGAGGAACTGAGGGAGAGTTGGGTACGTCCTCCCAACTCAAAAAAGTAGAGGGAAGGAGGGAGAGCTGCGAGCTGTCAGTGCCTGCCCCCACCCGCCCACAATATCTCAATGCCGCCCTACTTGCCGTTTCATGCCCGCATAACTCCGCATTCTAGCAGTCTTAACTCCACCCCCTTTCTGGCTCGTCCCTGCCTCTGCCAGCTTAACTGCATGTGTGTCAGTGTTTTTCTGTGTGTTTATGTATCTGCCTGGGTCAGTGTATCTGTCTGTATCCGTGTGTGTCAATGTTTGGATCTGTGTGTCTGTACACATGTTGGTATGTGTGTGTGTCAGTGTGTATATCTGTGTATCTGCATGTGTCACAGTGTGTGTATCAGTGTGTCTGTGCAATTGTATGTGTGTCAGTGTTTCTATTTCTGTGTCTGCATGTGTGTATATCTGTGTATCTGCATGTGTATCAGTGCTTCTGTGCAATTGTATGTGTGTTAGTGTTTCCATCTGTGTGTCTGCATGTGTGGCAGTGGTTGTATCAGTGTTTCTGTGCAACTGTATGTATGTCTTTACATCTGTTTGCGTGTCAGTGTGTGTATATGTGTATCTGCATATGTATCAGTGTGTCTGTGCATCTACATGTGTGTCAGTGTGTCTGTGAAATTGTAGGTGTGTCATTGTTTCCAAAACTAATGGAAATAGGTGTAATAGATATAATAAAAAGGGCAGCTCATAGGTCAAAAAAGGTTATGTGCGCTTCTCAAGGTAACAACATAAAAATAGAACGATGAATAGTAAAAAGGTCAATTTTATTGATATATATATAAAACCATGCATATAAATCCTAAAAATAGTACTAAATCCTGAATATAAACTTCACCATACTGATCAAGTTCTAATCTGTAATGAGTTTATAAAGGTAATAAAGAACAATATGTATATATGGCGTGTATAAACAGGCACCGATAGATGAATGTGATACATGTATCTCAAAGCTACCGCGCCTGTAAACACATACAATTACAAACCAATAAGAAACATTTAACAAAAATGTATCCCTGAGCACATAAAAAATAGTAATGCACAAAAAATACCTTGCCTCGGTGTGGGCCCCCACCGAGGTATATGCAAAAAAACGTGTCCCAGAAGACAAATCCTTAAAAGATAAAAAATGAAGAATGTCCAACGGGGTGACACGAAACCCAGAGGGGTAATATATCAGAGATGAATAGATAGATATACTTCATACCGCGGTCGGGCTCTTCGAAAGAGACCGCGGTGTAGCTTGATGTAGCTAGCAGATGGACGAACAAGAGACAACCACGTCCGGACTCTGGGCTCAACAGCTGGAACTGGACCATAACCACTATGGTGTGCTGTAATGGTAATGATGCTTGGCATTTCCTTTAATGAAGAAATGGAGATTCCATTTGATGCTCTATCTCACTCGCTACATATTAAATAAACAAAACATGAGTTTGTCAAATTACTTACATCTATAATATGCTTAGACTTTCAGGTATTTTTCTATGGAGCAGATAAAGATGCAAATGGATTTTTGTCTTACAATGAAATAAAGAAAGTTCTCGGAGAAGAAGCCACAAATGAGGATGTTCTAGCTCAGTTTGATGATGATAAAAACAGATATTATTCTTACATTGAACTAATCAGAGCATTTCAGCTACAAGGTAAATAAAGGTCTAAATAGCATGCATAAACATGGAATAATACATGTCCTGTTTTACGCTTTATGTTTTTTAAAGTCATTTTTGACCATCTTAGAAAAAAAATCAAATGTACAGTAATGAAAATGTACACGCACAGTTTTACATCATAAGAACTTTTCTTGAAATAACTCTCAGTATGCAGCCATCAATATTATTATTCTTGCCATGATTTCACAGGTAATTGTGAAGACAAAGAATAAAATACTTTTTATAAAAGGAGTGTGCAATACTCATGTTTCTTTTTTCACTTGCATCCATGGAAATCATGATGCCATTTTTCTTTACATTATGAAATCCCATCCCTATACCTATGCTGTTGGATGGATGGGTTAATAAACATATGAAGAGCCACCAATTAACCTAAATAATATCACCATGTTCATTTAAGTTAGGGTGAATGTAAAAAAGAAAATAGATTTGCTGCAGGGCATTTAATCCTTCTCTCTAAGCAATATGCCAGGTAATCCCCAATCAACTGGCCTATTAGAAATGCCCATGACCAAAACTATGTCATTATATAAGAACTCCTCAGCGAAAATAAGCAATCCTTATTTCGACTCGGACCCTTTTGAAATAAAAAACAGTACGAGGCAGGGATGCCCTTTGGCCCCCCTCCTATATGTTCTCACAATTGAGCATTTAGCTACCCTGATTAGACAGAAAAGTAACATAAAGGGGGTACAGCTACAGGAAGGAAATGTTAAAATATCTCTGTTTGCGGACGATGTCCTCCTTACTCTGGTCGACCCACTGGTGTCAATTCCATCTTTATTGGATGATATTTTTATTTATAGCAGCTTCTCTAATTATTAGGTTAATTTGAAAAAGTCTCAAATTTTACCTTTTCTCTTAACTAAGACTCAGAAAGATCTTCTGTCTTCTTGCTATAATCTGGTATGGGCAAGCGATATAATTGATTATCTGGGGATTAAAATATCTTTTGATATTGACAGTGTGATCCAAATGAATTTTGATAATTTATTCAACGAATTGAAATTTCAGGTTACAAAATGGAAGAGGTTGGAATCTTCCTGGATAGGAAGAATGAATATGACCAAAGCATTTTTGATGCCGAAACTTTTATACCTCTTTAGGGCGATCCCATATAGAATTGGGATGGGGGCTCTTAACCGCTTCCAAAGTTTGTTTTCTAGCACCGAGGATAGCTTTTGAGACCTTTGCGAAGAAGCTGTTTGAAAGGAGATATAGCATTCCCGGACGTGGTTAAGACTCACGATTCTTGTAAAGCAACTCATCTCCTCTTATAGTTGAATCCGGCTCAATTCATTTATTCAGTACGCTCCACCTACTCTGAGTTTACTCGCACGGAGCAGTTAGAGATACCCACCCACCTCCTAATAGAGGATACACGTTGGGCTCGGTTCTGCGTCTTTTGGCCCCTCCCCATATATACCACTTGGTCCGGGACCTTACACGCTGATTGGATCTATTTACCGATATCATTTACACATTTGGGACACTCCTCCTAGATTCCATTGGATACAGGTACTTATGTTTTCTGGCGTTTAAACTATTTAAGAGAGACCTTATTATTCTTTTGTCGGGCGTTTTTCCTTATTTTTAGCCATGAGCACTGGGCACTTGTGGATTTAGCACTATGATTTTCAGTTGATTTACTGAACTTTTTTGATTTTCACTTCTTTATTCTTTGCTTCTATGCCTGTCTAGTTAGATTACCAGGGAGAGAGGCTTTTAATTTACCTTGTCAGTTTTTTAGATACTGACTTTCTAACTATATACTGCATTCTCTCCCTATACTATACTATGGACAATACTCTTTCTCCTTAGCCCTGTCTGCAATTTAACTCTCTCTATGCTGATTTAAGATTGAGTGTTTGGGACTGTGCCTAGACCCATACTGCACTCTGTTGTTGACAGAGGTTTTTTTTTATTACAAGCACAGTACCTAAATCTATAAGATATGGCAAAGTAGTATTAAAAGTCAACCTTGAGATAGTCCAGTGTTGGGGAATTGATTCGGGTTTGATCCCTTCCTATTTAGCCTATACACTTTTCAATAAAGCTGGAATTCAGGATTGGGGATCATACCCTTATCCGGATTTGTATTGTATCCCTACCTGGTGTCTATTTCTGGCTCGCATATTAGCATATGTATCACTTGTATATACTTTGCTACATTTATTATGTTTTGGTCTCAATAATCTAAGATTATACACTTTTTAAGCCAGTATACAGAAATAACTACACAGCTATATATATATCCAGGAGATGCAGCTGATAGAGCTTTGTATCCACTGAGGCTAGCTGCATCTACTTTCTGCAAGAAATGCATTCACAATGTATCTTTGGTTGAAACCCACTTTAAGCTATTGTATAGATGGTATCTGGTACCGGTTAGACTTCATAAACTATCATCAGTTCATTCGAAGGACTGTTGGAGATGTGGGAAGGAAGAAGGTACCATGTACCATATCTGGTGGGACTGTCCAGAGCTCAATAATATCAAAACACAAATGATAGACCTAATAAACCTTATATTTGAGGACACTATAGAAATTAGTCCCCAACTATTTCTGTTTAATATTGACTTTCCTACACAAGATAAGAATCAAATTTATCTCTTGACCCATATTTTATTTGCAATTAAAATTAATATCGGCAGGGCATAGAAATCCCATACTCTTTCGGCTTGGCATCAGATACTGGAACAAATAGAGTTTCAGCATAGGATCGAAGTGAATTCCTTTTTTAATCCTCATACTAGGAATCTGCTTGAGCTATGGTCTCCCTGGACTTCCACATTTTCTACACTGTAGTAAATGGCTTAACTTAGGTTTGCCCTTCACCAAAATGTAGGATTTGCTTGTTTTTTGGAGGGGGGAAGGGGGTTTATTTAAAGCTCATGTTGTGATATTGTAATGTCTAAGTCTTTTGACTACGTATGACTACCAGCTTGAATAGAAACACACTTTACTGGCAGCAGTTACTAGTCATTGATACACTGTATAGAACTGTATATTTCTTATGTATTGTATAAGGCTGTATAAGGTTGTATATTTTTATGCATTGTATAAGGCTGTATATTTTTATGTCCTTATTGATATTTATACATGGTTTTGAGACAGACAATATTGTGTTATGGAAAATTATAAATAAAATAAATATAAAAAAAAAAAAAGAAATGCCGATGACCTTCTATACCTTTCCTACACTTTTCCTGGCAGTAATTGTGTCCAACCAATTTATTTTATTTTTTTAAATTTTATTTTTTATTATACTTTAACGAATTTGACAAATATTAAACAAGTAATAAACAGTTGAGTTCAATATCATCTTTCAGATAACAAACCAAGTTAGTATGTCAGGATGTTACAATGATTCTCCATATATTTTGTTTCTTGATTAAATAGTTTTACACATTAATATCTGGAGTTAGAATACTCTAGAGTTGAGCTCTTTTTTCAAAGTTTAAATCGTCACATAATATATAGTACAAAAAACATAAATAAAACCTACAACATAAAAACATAAAAAACCTAAGGTCAACTATCGAGATCAAGGAAGTGAACAGAATCAATATCGCTTCTTTGATATATTAATTCATTAACTGGGTCTAGAGCCATTTCAGAAAGATGTTATTAGGGATTTACCATAAAAGAGTATTTATGCCAGGGTTTGTTAGTTTTACTAAGACATGGATATTCTATTCTTTATAGTAATCAAATCATTTTGTCCATATCTAAGAACCAATATTATTATGAAATAAACCACCTTTTCCATTAAACCTTGGTATTGGATCTGGGTTTTAATCTCTTATATATCTCTGGTATATTCTGTTTCCACTTTCTGGCAATACATAGTTTGACGTCCATCAAGACATGTATGGTCAAGTACTTAGATGCTTTATCCATTTTTGGCAAGTCTAGGTGGAATAAAAATCTTTCTGGAGATAGAATAATATTCAATTTTAGATCAACAAAAGTTTAGATACTCCTGATTTAAGAATGTCTAAACCAGTACAATCCCATCAAATATGTTTAAATGAGCCACATTCATTATTACAATGCCAATAGACATTTGAAGAGTTTGTTTGAAATTTACATGTTTTCATAGGGACCATATACCATCTATGGATAAGTTTGAGAAATGTTTCTTGTATATTTACACAATGGATTCTATATTTATACAATGGATTGTTTTTCTTAATGCTTCAAATGAGTTTAACTAGTCTTGACAGGAAAAATATTTATTTATCTCAGTTTCCCATCTAGAGATAGTATTATGTTTTACTTCCTGGTTTAATACCTCCAAAGATCTTCTAACTACTGAGGATTTATTTTTAGCCTCTCCGAAGAGAACCTTATCAAAGGGGGAGTCCTTAATTATAGTTGTCTTATGGAGAAAATCTCTTATTCTTAGATAGTTGAAATGTTCTTTATGTGGTAATCCAATTTTTTCCAGAAGATACGAAAAACAACCAATCCCTGAGTTACTGTATAGTTCCTGAATAAGCCATCCAGATAGATTAAGGTCCTGAATAAAAAACTTCAGGATTTTCAGAGGGGCGTTTGAAGAGATCTGATTTTGGGGGGAAAAATATTTCTTTATCGGTTTTATAGATTGGAAAATATGGGAAATAGTTAAGTTATCAATATGTAAATTTTTAAAGAGTTTCTTAGCCACCCAAAAAAACAAAAGGGTCAAAAGTACCACTTACCCTCTTTTCATATATATACCATGCTTTCCGCTTTGAGTTATTGTTTCCCCATTCTAAATAGTGTGAAAATATTACTGTATAATGAGTATAAAATATGTTCTAAGCGCAATCCTGGGTTTCTTGTTACCCCAAACATAGGATACAAATAAACCATGAAATAGTTAAAGTATCTTCTTTGGGACTCTAAGAGGAATAGTATGGAAAATGTATTCCAGTTTTTGGAGTAGGTATGCTCTAATAATATTTATTCTTCCAAGCCATGATATTTGTAGTTTAGACCATTTTGAGGTTGTATTTCTAAATTCTTTAAGGAGTATGTTATAATTATCAGTAGTCCACTCTTCAATATTAAAATTGATATTTATTCCCAGGTAACAAAGAGAGTTGGACCAGTTCAATTTATGATTATTATTTAAATTTCTTATTAGTAAACTTGCAAGATTACGATGTAAAACTTGTGTTTTTTGCATATTAATTTTACAGTTAGACAATCTACTATATTGTTCTTTACACTGAAGTGAAGATGGTACAGAGGATTCAGGATTTGTTAAAGTCATAATTACGTTGTCAGCAAACATAGTTATTTTTTGTTCTTGCTTGTCTAAATTCAACCCAGTTATGTTATGATTTTGTCTTATATACGCTACCAGTGGCTCAATAGAAAGAATATAAAGAAGAGGTGCCAATGGCGGGTTCCATTTTTAATAGTGAACCAAGAAGAGTCTAAACCGGTGTCCAACCATTTTAGATACTATACCAGTAGGATGACTTGTCTCTATGGCATGAAGTGCATATTAAAATAGCAAAAGAAAGGCAAAGCGATGGAAGTTCTTCTACAGACAGACAGACCAAAAAGGCAGCAAACTCTGAAACTGTAGACCCCTCTATGCCCAAACAAGAAGTAAAAAAATTGTAAAATCAATAGATGATGCCAATTTGAAAAAAGACTAATAAAACAAATTACTGGATAAAAGTGAACAAAAAGTATATACTATAGAACATGTAAAAAAAGTTAAATACAATAAAGTAAAATAAGGAATACAATAAAGTCCAGAAATTCTTCTAATGTCCTCAGTTCTTTTGCTGTCTATTCTATCCTCATTGGGTGTATATGTAGATAGAAGAGAGAGAAATAGGAATACTGATAGTATAGTATTTAGTACACTGGTTAAATGACAGACAACAAAGTGCTTAAATATCCACTCACATTTTATAGAGCCTGCGTACAAGTTCTGGTAATATCAGCATGTAGCAGTATTATCCCCACTATATATATATATATATATATATATATATATATATATGGATAAAAGTGTAGACAGAGTCTGCCTTATAGGCCCCAGTAGAACATTAAATGAAAGAGTAAAATCCATTAGTGCAATATTATAATATTATATACAGGGTACATAAAGTGCCTTGGAATATAAAATGTACACTCACAAGTGCAGAGTTTTGTAGTAAAGCTCAAATTTTTAGGTATAAGATGGTATATGTGATGGATCACCTTGCCTCTGGACTGAAAATCCCTTCATTTCATTCCCCTTATAGTTCAGGATATTGCCTTCTCTTTCGTTTATTCTGTATTTTATTCCCCTACCGAACAAACTACCAAACTACCAATCCAGCCATGTGTGGAGTGTACCCCTCATTAACTTCTATCACCTCTGTAACACCTTGACAAGCACAGGCATTCTAAGCAGTCAGCTGGGTGGTTGGTGTTCGGTATACAAACACGTGGCGGCGGCCATCGTTAGCTGCGAATACATACAGCGGTGTTTGGTCGTCAAGTGCATGGAACTATAATCGGACACTCGACAGCGCGAACACCGCTGGGACTTCCATACCTTCATACGTTCATCTAGATTCATATAAAAAGAGCAGCATTCAGTAGGAATAAGCTCCCGAACCAGATACATCAACCAAGTATCCATACGAGCGATTACGTTCTGTATTTTGACTGTTTCATGTATTCTTGAACTAGACCGACCAAAATCCCGAACCTCTGAACCGATCTGGGTGATCTTTGGATATGTTGGTCCCCCAGATCGGGGCTACCAGGGGATATAACTTTAGTGGGGTTTCCATGAGTTTTGGGAATACTTTCAGGATACTGTGTAAAAGTATATTTTTTTCTGTGCTTTTGTATTTGCAACATGGGTGGAACAATCCCCATCAAGGATTTGAAGGTAGTAATACAAGAAGTTCAGATGGTGCCAGTAACAATGGTAGAATAAAATAAATACAATTAACAAATAATGCAAGCAGGCTAAAAAATATAGGCACCCTAATGCTTTCTTGGTAAATACAATATAAAAAAATACAATATTTTTAAAATGTACTATTTGTTTTATATTGTATTTATCAATAAAGCATTGAGGTTCTTCTAATTTTGAACCTGTTAGCATTTATTGTATTTTTATTTATTTTATTCTGGAAAAACTGAGGTAAAAATTGCAATTTTGTGAGAAGGTATTCCTCTGTTAGTGACTAACATTGAATGAGTAGCAGTGTCCTATGTAGTCTTCATTCCTTCCTGACATTCAGACATTCTGTGCTGTCCTCCACAAGTGGGCTTCAATGACATTAGGAACTAGTGGGGCCGCAACTGCGACCCCTGCGACCGTGGGCCGCCTGCATACTTCCTTGGCCAGTGCACAGCCACACCGGCCCGGGGCATGCGGTTGCCAGCAGTAGGGGAGAGCTGCTCCCCTCCTTCCTGGGTTTAGTGCGGCCGAGCGGTCTTTCAGGAAGTGCTCACTGAGAGAGAGATAGTACACACGTAGGGGATGGGGGGTTGGAGATGTCGCACATGGGAGGGATGGAGAGGTTGTTGATGTGACAATGAAGGGGTTGTGGATGTCGTACATGGAGGGGCTAGGAATGTCACACATGAAAGGAATAGGCATGTCACACATGGGGATGTCAACGCATGGAGGGGATGGAGATGTTACACATGGAGGGGTTGGAGATGTCACACATGGAGGGGTGACCTGACATGAGGTAAGTATTATTTTTAGCGTGACTGCGCAATTAGACACAGACACACTGATCGGGCGCATACATGTGTTTGTGCTGGGATGGGGGCCTGACATTATAGTGGCATTAGCCAACACCTACAAACTTTAAGCAGAAAGTATATCTTGTGTTGGTCAACCTGATCCATCATTTTTATGAATTTAGGAAACGAACTCCTTTAAGAAGAAAAAAATCACCCCCCCGGGTTCGTATTGGTTATGGGGTAACCAAAAAGGGCTTAACCCCATTTACAAATCAAAAAAAAAATAAGTCGGAACCTACTTCAAAAAAAGACAGTCAGGTGCCGACAGGGATTACTCTCAGAGTATCTAGTATTTCACAGCAGTTAAAAGATTAGAAAAAAATACAAGTATAAATGTGAAAGTGAAAAAAAAGATTAAACATGGGTAGCTATTAGAGGTATTGAATTAGAGAATCTCCAAGTAAGGTTTGTATGGAGTATTTCCATACTAGATACTCTGTGGGTAATCCCTGTCGGCACTTGACTGTCTCTTTCATTTTTATGATTATATCATATTTTCTAATACAACTTCTCATTGCATGGTGGCTGATGTCACACTCGCTGTTCCTCTTCTGGCATATTGACTATATAATATTGACGTTTTCTCAACATGGGGCTGGTTTAAATCTAAGAGTTAAAGCCTTTCAACTCTTAGAACAGTATAGTCTGACAGCTATTTAAAGGGACAGCATTTATGTGCCAAAATCACTACTTTTAAGATGTAGAGGTTATTGTACTGTTTTCTATTAAGGCATGATATAGATATTTCATTCTACAATATATGTAGAAAATAAATGTAATAATTGTAAAATATAAAGTTATTGCTTTTTAATGAAATTTCCAGGCATTTTGGATCACAATCCTTGCTATGTTTTAAAAAGCTGTGGTTAAAGTAGTGCTTCATTGCGAAGGGTTCATGAATTAATGTAGGATAATTTTTACTTTTCCTAAGGTCTTACTTGAGATATATAGATAATATGATATGAGATGATGATGAACAACAGTACACATTGAAGTAAATTTGCATGAACCATTTTTTGTTCACCCCACGTATTATTTAGTGGTTATCATCAGATATATATTACATGTCAATTGTAATATGTTGTGTATATATGATTTCAGATTAAATTGAAACATCAAAAAACAAGATAGAAGACAGACAACTACAAGTCAAGACATTAGTGGACAGCTATGAAAAAAAATGCATACACGCAACTTTTTAAATAAACAATGTTTTATTAAAATTACTGCATTTACACAAACAATGGATGTATTTCTGACATACAGAAATAAATGCTGTTATCCTACAATTTAAATTTGTAATTCAGTTATAGGCTTTACAGTAATTGTTTCAAATACCTTAGTAACTTTTTTTCTATGTCACATCAAAATGTAATTTTACCGCATTACATCTTAATAAAAACAAATGTTACTTAGTACGTGGATACGATTTTAGTATAATTGATTTCAAATGAATAAAAAGTTGTATTTCAATGGTTAATTTGCTTTATATCACACATTAGTGGTTATTTTTCAACTGTATTTATTTCAAGAAACTAAACATGTTTAATTGTAGATAACAGTTTCCAAGTTTGTATATTATGGTCAATTTAATTAGTTATCGTGTGAACTTTTTCTGTGTATTCCTTCCTTGTCTTGACTACACCATCATATTTATCTGTATTAAGTACAAAAAGTAATTTAGCTACTTGCAGGTACACTCTTAGCATTAACACTAACTATAAAGTCCTGGTTAAATGGACAAACTAACCTGCTGAAACAATGCTTGGTGAAGAGATTGACAATGTTTTTCCACAAGGCCCATTTAATATGAAAATACAAATACAAACTTTCAAGCAACCTTCAAGATTTTACAGGGCACTGAAACTCCTGATAAAACACTGTGTAGTACAAATAAATAAAAATAAATGGACAGTTTTGTAGAATATGCAAGCCAAACTTCAGTTACAGTCTTTATATTTATACCATAACATACATTTCCAAACACTTTCGTTGTTATAATCTTGTACTCAAGTCATTTATCATACAATGTAAATATTTGAAATATATTTACAAAAAAAATGTGAGGCTAAATTTAAAGTGTTTATGAAAATCCACCTACCTATGCTACACATTTTATTAACTGCTCTATTATTTTTATTTAAATTATTACATACTGTAATCTCCAACATTTTACTGGTTATTATATTTATGTCAATTTGTATTTCTTTTATTGTTTAATAACCCCGAATTCACTATTGCTTCTACATCTTTCAAATCAGTGTAATAATGAAAGTTTTTACATTTTTTTCATACACCCAAAAAACTACTTTTTAACCACCAATCATTGCTTACTTTTCATTTTAAACTGGTATAAAATAGTGCTTTTTATGCACGATGTATGCATAAAATTTGAAATATTCTCAGTAACAAACACAACATTAAAGCTCCTGGTAGTACAGTATTGAAATAAAACATGGTGTACAGTTGGAGGATCTATAAAAAAACAGTAGTAATAGTTTTCATATAAATGTATTTAATAAATAAAGAACTGTTGATTATGTACATAAACAATGCACAATGTGTGCCGCTCAAATTCAAAGTACACAAAAAAGGAATAGTAATCAGGGCATAGTATAGCTACTGCAATTACAGGATCAGTTTGTTAATGATACATGCTCCCAATAATATGCCCAGTCTCAGTTACGATAATTCAGAGAAATTATGAAATCAAAAACTGAGCACATTGCCTGTGGTTTATTTATTGTTGTTGATTCCATTCTGTATATTGCATAACTTAAAGCTAGTCTCATTAGCTGCATTGCTGACCTATATTTACAGTACACTGATTAGCAGATACCTGCCAACAGTTTTAAATTGATGGGAATCATGACATTCAGACACACTACCCAGTGTAAATTGTGTGAACAGTCATGCTTAAACAGTCATCTAATAGGGAACTGATTTGAGAAAATATCAAAAAAAATTGTATGTGTGTCCATACAACATTTTCTGTACGTATCGTATGCATGTTTTGTGTGTGAATTTGTATTGTGTGAATTTATGCCGTACAAAATAGCTAGAATCCCATACAATATGAAATATTGGTTGTTACCTTTTTATGCCATTGTTTTTTGCATAACTACTCACCCTTTTACACATCTCAGCATTTTGTAATGTCAAAATCTGTTATTAAAATGGAACTAACTGGGATTTTTACCATCTGTTACATAGCATATCTATCAGTTTGTGACGCCAAATAGTTTTAATTGTGACAAAAGTTAATGAAAAACAAACAGATATTTCATTAAATTCTACTATGGATAAATGGTAAACCTGAACTAATAACTGCTTGCCTGACTTAAGATGTCACAATGTTAGATATGTTGTGTAATCAAAATTTTAATTCCAGGTTGTAACAGTGCAAAATGTGGAAATGGTACTCGTATTGGTTAACTATTTGAGCCCCTGTATATTTTACTTGTGTGTGAAACTAGGGTGTTGATTGAATTAAAAACTGAATTTGTAAAATGTCAGTCAATGCCATTCGAGGTTTGCCATTATAGGAATGTAGCTACTTTAGGATTTTATTTCACGAATAACTTTTTCAAGATTTAATTTTGCTAATTCAGTGTTTAATTCACTCACTGTTTACAGAATAAAAAAAATATAAAACTATAATATAACTTGATTGACAGGGGTATTATTGTGTCTTTACAAGACGTAGATAGTTTCTGAATATGTAACACTCAATGTTTTTCCAATTTTACAAACAGCACCTGTCGTCACTATTAAATATATAATATGCTAAAACAGAATCATGAATTGAAGAATGGATTAAACATTGTAAATAATTTACAATGTTAATGTTGATAGTTGCCTTGTGTAATAAGAACAAAAGAAAAAAAAGCTTTAATACTGTAGGAATTTTGAAATGTTTTTTTACATGAAGTGTTAGAATTCATTATATTAGTAAGTATATAATTATGTACTATATTAAAATATTATGTTTTTCCATGGATTAGTGCATGTATAATCTAAAAACTGATTGACTGAACATGCACTCAGTGTTAGGTATTATTTTGTAAAGTCACTAATCTAAATAGACAGAGGACATGTCTAATCTGACTTTAAAAAAAAAAAAAAAGCTGATACCTCTATCCAATTCTCACACCACTGAATATAAATTGCATGTTAAAATTATGCTCTGTATGTAATTTTATTTAAACAATAAAAATATCAATAACATTTCATAAAGATAACAAATATGTTCCTATACTAAAGGGACACTACAGTCACAAGAACCACTAGTGGTTCTAGTGTCTGTAGCATGTCCCTGCAGGTTGAACATAGTAAACGCTACCTTTTCATAGAAAACCTAGGAACACCTGGAAGTCACGGAGACACTCTGCATTGAGGTGCTGAGCTTCCCCATAGAGATGCATTAAAGCAATGCATCTCTATGAGGAGATGCTGATTGGCGCAACTCTGCGTTTTGCCGTCCATGTGCAATATCCACCCAATGCGTTCGTATTGGAAAGAATTGGATTGGCTGAGATCATAATGAGTGATGTTCTCAGCCATAAAGGCAGGGGCTAGATGTAGTGAGGGAAAAAAAGTAAGTAAACTCACCTTTCCCATGCAATTGGAGGGAAGGACAGTAATCTAAATAGTTATACACTATAGTATCAGGAATACGTTTGTATTTCTGACACTATAGTGTTCCTTTACGTATTGAAACCTAGTGCCACGGAAGCTCAGAGTTTATATAGAAATACAAAATATGGGCCATTTTGTAGCAAAAAAATTGACCTAGAACTGTTAATTACAAAATTTGAAGTTGGTCGGACTCTGGATTTCAAAGGAAAATGTGGATAAAAGAGCATTGTATGACGGTTAGAGGTGATGTAAAACAAGTGTGCAGATCAGAAAAAAAAGCATTATATTATTCGCTTATTTTAATATTCCATTGAGTGCATTCGGATGGATCAGTAGTAGTAGTGAGTCTAGCATCCTATTTGAAAGGCTTCAAAGTTCCATGAATGGGAATGAAATAATAGTCCAGCAACCTATTTGAAAGGCTACAGGGTTCAATGGATGGGAATAAACTAATATTATACCATTTAACCACATTAAGACATCACAAAAGCTTTTCCATTTGGGAGAATAGCAAGAAAGGCATTCTGATAAAAGCCTTATTTTTTTATATTTATATTAAAATATAAATTTAGACTTTGCCATCAAGCGTGAAGAGAGAGAGGGAGAGAGAGTTTTGGGTGCAAAACTGAAAGTACTAACAAACAACCACTACATTGATATATGGTGTTGGCAACATTGAGCTGCTTGTATACTACCCATCAAAAGGTTCTATGTAAAATAGAAGGACAAATGTGTGGAACAAAAAATATGAGCTTTTGCAAGACAATGATCCCCAGCAAAGGGCTAAACAACTCAGTACAACTTAAAGTAACTAGCACCATAACTTTATAGCCCATGATAGTGATTATTGTGCCAGGAGTGCCCTAGCATTCTCCCACAGTAAGCAGTAAAACCATTTAAGAACCATTTGTACCCATGGCCACTTCCATTACGCTAAACCGTGCTGTGCATCTACCTGTTCTGACAGACTTAGCTCAGTGCAGGTGCTTCCAGGGACCACAGGAGCGGGCACCCGATGAACCCCAGGTAAGCAGACAAATTGTTTTTAAATGGTTTGACTGCTCAGTGTGGGAAGGTAGCAGGGCACCACAACCAGTATAGCGGTCGGTAGTGAATAGGGTTCTTGGAGTATCCCTTTAAAAACAACCAGGTGAGTTGTCTATAAGTAGTACATTGAAAGTCCAAAATGAATTACTTCTCAGATTCTAGGATGGGGTGGGGAACATCCGGCCTGCAAAATCATTTGAATCGGACGGTGGAGAGCTGGCCCTGCTTGTCAGCCTTTTTTGGGCCGGTGGAGAGATCACAGATCTCCCTCACCGATCTTCGGGCAGTTTATTAAGGGAGAGGGAGGAAACTAGGACCCGGGAGCCTGCTGGATAGGAGGAGGACCCAGGAGGCTGTGATGCAAATCGGAGCGTTGCCGCGTGTAATCCTGGAAACACTCTGACAGCGATGTGCTCGCGGGAAGAAAATAGTGATGTCAGCCTGCAGGCTAAAGTGCACGCGAAACCACTGGACAACCAGGGATCGCAGTGATATGTTCTCTCCTTCCATATCAGAGGTAAGAAGGAGGAGGGGGGTGCATACATTTTTTTCCTCTTTGTAAGTAAAAAAAATCTATAGATTTTCTCCCTGATCCCCCCACCCCAATATAGACCCCTGACACACACTACACTACCTCACATACACATACTGCACCCCTCACACACACACACACATAACCCCTCACACAAACACACAAACACACAACACAACTCACACAAACACCCCACACACACACTGCACCCCTCTCACAAACACAGCATCCCTCACACACAGTACACCCCCTCACACACAGACACACACAGCATCCCTCACACAAACACACTACACCCCACACACACACACAGCACACCTAACACACACAGAACCCCTCACACATACTCTGCACCCTTCACACACACACACACACACACACACATGGAACTCCTCGCACAAACAGACTGCACACCCACCCCAACACACATAGAACTCCTCACACAAACACACTGCACCGCCTCACACACAAACAGCACACTTCACACAAACACACTGCACTCCGCACAAACACTCTGTACCCATTACTCACACACTCACAGACTGCACCTCACACACACACACACACTACACCCCTCTCACACACACATTACACCCATCTCTCTCTCACACACACACTGCGAGTATCAACATCATCAATACCAACATCACACCAAAGAGAAGCAGTTCCAGCCATCAAATTAGGAGTGAGTTAATTAAACGTTTGACCAAATACAGCAGGCTAGTTCTTAAGCTGATAATTTTGTATGGCCTGCGAATGATGTTTTAAATATCCAAATGGTGCTAGGCAGATAAAAAGTTCCCCACCCCTGTTCTAGGACACAATTAATACATCATCTAGAGGCAGCAACTAATGGTGTGTTTAAAAAGCTAAAAATGATTTATCCAAAAAGACTTACAGTAACACTCATAACCACATTAACTGATTAAAATACTTGGGTACCTGGAGCTTTCGGTCCCAAATCAATGCTAAACAATTTTACTCAGAGAGATTCCGTCACTGGCAGTCATTCAGCCAATGACAAAATGTCATAGGTAAAGCTATGATCCACTTCACGTTGTACCAAGGGATGCAGGCAGTAATTAGCCTGAGAGCTTCAACAGAGTGCTCTCAGCCAATCACTAACTCAATAGCCAGTCTGAAATGGTTTGCATAACTGCGCCTCTGTCATATCGTATTTAAAGGCATTACTGTGGGCTGCAGTGAGTAAAGCATTTAGCAGTGATGTAAAACCCATTTCCAGCAAACTCCAGGCATCATGATCATCTCAATCACTTCAAGTGGTTATGCTGTCCACAGTGTTCCTTAAAACATATCATTGCAGTTAAACAGGCTATGTGGGTGAGGTATTTAAATGCTTATACAAGTAGAATTTTCAGGTCTAATTTTAGGCTAGGATATTTTAACAATATTCCCTGTGGGTGTTAAAATAACATTCCATACAGACTTAAATTCCAGTGTCCCAGTTATAATTTGAAATTGAAGTAGCACCTCAGAAGTGTGTGCTTTCAATTGGTAGCCATTTACACTGTGGATCATTTTCAGTGAAGTTTATGAGGCCAAAACTAATTTGAAATGTAAATGACAGCATTATTTCAGAACAACCTGCAAGACCATTAACATGTCTCCATCTCTTAGCAGAAAAAATAAAAATTAACCTTTATAAAATGTAAAACCTCTTTAGTTTTGATAAGCGTTCAATAAAATTTTGTTATAAGGAGGAAGTGTTTGGAGATTCTATTTTAAGCCTGAAAGTCAGTGTTGGGGGAGCATAAAGTACATTTACTAAGAATCCAACAGATGGGATAAGGCCAGCCTTGGGACAAACAGTGATGGCAAGGGATGCCAATGGGGAGCCATGTGGCGTAGGCCTTCTAGATAGACATTTCCAGCAATGCAGCAAAATCTCCCCCAGCACTGGTAATAAACCATAAATTCCCATTTTGAAATCCTTTTTAAATCAGTGCTTTTCTGTTCATTTTACTTTTTTTTCATGTTTGATGAATCCGTTTTTCTTGTGTTTGCCATTTGCTATTCCGTTATGACAAAATCCATTTAGGGTGCTGTGCTTTGCACTGGTTAAATTTTTCTTAAAATATTTGACTAGATTTGAAACAAAGTACCAGCCTAAGAAACCTGCTAAAAATGTAAGTATAATAGCATCCACTAAATAGTACTGGTACAAAGAGATATCATAGGCCGCAGCTCGCAGGTGTTCTGCCCCATCATGACGTAGAATGTAATCAATCCAATATGTAGCTCTAGTCACAGGATGGCCTGGTTGATCCTTGTGAATGTTGGACATCCTCAACGCCTGTTGTCGATAACTGAGTAGTACAAAGAAAAATATAACAATTAAAACATATTTTCAAAAACATTTAACATCAAGGTCATGTGTGAGAGAGTAACATGGATTTTTATTTTACCTTTGAATCAATAAAAGAATAAACCTTTTACAAATTCTTTGTGTTTGCCTCATCTTGAATTCTATATTGGAGCCCTGAAAGCTGCACCAAGGTGCTTAAAGGAACACAAACATGTATTCCGGACACTATAGTGTTAAAAACACCATCTAGCCTCCTACTTGCCTCCTAACTATAGTAAATCTTACCTTTATTCCAGTCTGCTACTGCTTGCTCTGCCCCTGATCTGCCTCCAAACGCAATCAGCAATCTCCTCATAGAGATGCATTAAATCAATACATGTCTACGATGAAAATTGCATGCAGAGGGTGAAGACACTGAATGTCAGTGCTGCCTTTTCTCTAAAACAAACAGTGTTTACAGCAAAAAGGCTGCAGGGACTGACTATACTCTACCAAAACAACTACAATAAGCTGTAGTTGTTCTGGTGAGTATAAGGTACCATAAAAGGGACACTCCAGGCAGCTAAACAAGTTAAGCTTAATTTAAAGCTAAGAAGCTCAACAATTCCTATGGTTAGTTTCTTGTCTTTCAATTCTGTGTAGTTTTCCTGCAGTGCTTTCAGCAGTGTAACCCAGCCTCCTTAGCCAACCCCTCTCAGATTTCAACATGTTCCTGATTCCCAGTGTCTGAAAGAAACTTACTTCAGCTAATGAAAATAGAGACATGTCTTCTGTAGTTTAAGGAATGCTCACAGCACAGACTGCACCACAGAGACAAGGCTAGAGCTCATATGTGTTTCTCTCCATGTAATGCATTCTCCTCCAGCACGAGTCAGCCAACCTCTTTACCCATTTCCCTACCAGTCCCCGTCGGTCAACCTCCTAACCCACTGTCAATCCCTCCAGTCTCTGTTAGTCAACGACTCTACCCGCTGTCAACCCCTTCCCTGTCAGTCCCTGTCCTCCAGCTCCAGGCACCCAGACCACTGCTGCACATTGGAGTGGTCTGGGTGCCATCTCCCACTACTCTTAACCCGGCAAGTGTAATTATTGCAGTTTTGTATAAACTGCAATAATTACCTTGCAGGGTTAACTCCTCCTCTAGTGACTGTCTACTAGACAGCCACTAGAGGGCACTTCCTGCATTATAGCACGCTGTATGAGGACCTCCAGCGTCGCTCATTTCCCCATAGGAAAGCATTGAAAAGCATTTTCAATGCTTTCCTATGGGGCCGGTGGGCGGGATCAGTCTCGCACACCGGCCGACGCAAACACTGGGAGGAGCGGCGGCGGAGGAAGAAGCAGCGTCCCTCGTTTTCACCCCTTCAGCAACTGGATATTGGGAGGGAGAGGGGACCTGCAGTGCCAGGAAAACGGATTGTTTTCCTGGCACTGGAGTTTCCCTTTAACCCTTTACCAGCCAGCCAACATCCCTACCCACTGTTAACCCCTTCTCTGCCAGTCCCAGTAAATCTAGATAGATAGATAAAGATATATAGATAGAGAGAGAGAGGTATAGGTAAAGATACAAAGAAAAATATAACAATTATTATTATTATGATATTAATAGAGCGCCGTAAAATTCCACAGTGCTTTACAATGGGTGGACGAATAGACATGTAGTTTTAACCAGACAAGTTGGACACACAGGAACAGAGGGGTTGAGGGCCCTGCTCAATGAGCTTAAATGCTACAGGGAGTGGGGTAAAATGACACAAAAAGGTAAGGATAGTATTAGACTAATGACAGTTGCAGAAGAGGAATCAGTCAGGAGCAATTAACAGTTTAATTAATACGCTTTTATGAAGAAGTGGGGTTTTTAACGATTTTTTGAAGGAGTGGAGACTGGGTGAGCATCTAACGGAGGAGGGAAGCGAGTTCCACAGGAACGGTGCAGCCCTCGAGAAATCTTGAAGGTGAGCATCAGAGGTGGGAGTACGGACAGAAGATAGACGTAAGTCTTCAGCAGATCGTAAGGGCCTAGACGGGACATACTTGTGTATAAGGGAGGATAGATAGGTGGGAGCAGCATTATGTAGAGATTTGAAAGCAAGAACCAGAATTTTAAATTGAGCTCTATATTTTATAGGAAGCCAATGTAGGGACTGACAGAAGGGTGAGGCATGGGAGGTGCGCGCGGACAGGAAGATGAGCCTCGCCGCCGCATTCATTATGGACTGTAACAGCGCTAGTTGGGAGTACGTAAGACCACTGAGAAGCGTATTACAGTAGTCAAGGCGAGAAAGGACAGTGGAATGGATAGACTGAATATGAGGCGATAGACTGAACATGAGGCGTGAAGGAGAGGTCAGAGTCAAAGAGAAAACCTAGGCAGCAAGCCTACGTGGTGGAGCTGATGGTAGAACCGTTGACTTGGAAGGAGACAAACACAGAAGTAACAACACTTGAGGGAGGAAAGACCAGAATTTCAGTTTTGGTCAAGTTTAGTTTAAGGAAGTGGGCAGCCATCCAGTTAGAAACAGCAGAGATGCAGTCAGAGACACTAGTCAAGAGGGACGGGGAGAGATCAGGAGAGGACAGGTAGATTTGCGTGTCATCTGCGTAGAAATAATATTGGAAGCCAAAGGAGCTAATGAGTTTACCAAGGGAGGCAGTATACACAGGAGTAGCAACACTTGAGAAAGGAAAGACCAGAATTTCAGTTTTGGTCAAGTTGAGTTTAAGGAAGTAATGGTAATGATAATGATATCAATCATTATCAATCTCTGGACTGCTTATGTAATGCAGACAGTGAAATGGTATAGTCCATTAACTTCTCCCACAACTGTAAAATAAAACAATTCATTTAAACTTCCTGCACCACGGAAAGAAAGGGGTGAGCCGACATTTTCAACAACTTTTATTATATTAGTGACTAGCGGCTTCTGGCAGAGAAATTCATACCGTTACAGGATGGTAATCAGAACTAGAGTATAAATGTGGCCCATTAAGGCTTTAAGAATTACATTTTATACTGCAAAAAACATGAAAACAAAAACGTTTATACTTGTTTTTGTTATTGAAGCGGTTAACATACACTGTTACAATATTAACAAGAAAATGCAAAAAAATATATAATGTGGAAATAGTTTACCTTTCATCATTGATAACATTTGTAAGAGCTTTAAATAAATTTCCTTCAGTCATCTTTTTCCATTCTAGAAGAATACCCATTCCTTTTGCTTGTACACGTGTCATGGTATCATAATGGTCACCAAAAAGTGGGATTCCTACAACAGGTACTCCATGGTACATGGCTTCAAAAATACCATTCAAACCCCCATGACTGAGAAATGCCTTAATCTTCAGGTGACCTAAAATAATAATTATAAAATATACTTATCCATACCTATATAGATTGCATTGAAAACTAAATACATTTTCAACATTGAATAAAAGAAATGGGTGGAAAGTAAAATGTGGTGGGAAGTAGCAGTTGAATAAGTGGTTGTATCTAAGTAAACTATATAAATGTGTTTAGAAAAAGTATGTGTAAAATAAGATACAGGTCTTGTTCTAAATTACTTGTTAGTTGCATAAACTGTTATTAGTACATCAACACAGAGCAGCCTTTCAGCCTGTTCACATCACAAACCACACCTCTAAAATTATACATCCCTATTTGTAAATTTTAAATCTTGGGAGGAATAATACTGTTCAGTCTAGAAGGTTTCTGTGCCTCTATTAGATAGAAATGACTTCTGTCAAATATAGGCACAAGTTAAGTTTCAGTTTTATTTAGTATCAACCCATTAACATGTATATACATTACAATGTACAAGCATAGAAAGTTGCCAACTAAACTTAGCAGGTCACACACACACATAGGCACAAACAGGTGCACACACACACACACACACACACACACACAACACGTAGGCAAAGATCTACACAGAGACACACACTCACTTTAAAAAAAAAAAAAGAGAGATTATTGGTCGTATGGTGGGGAGATTTAACTCACAGAGGTATGACCAGACTACAAAATATTGTGTATTTTCACTTTAATTGGAGGCTGTGTGAGCACAGCATTGCTTATTGTTCTCATCCTGATGGATGGTGTATGGCAGGCGGCAGCAGTTGGTTAACTAGTTCAGAATTACTACTTCCATGCTCCTCTCTCTGGCCGGCTGGCGGTCTAAACCATACATCTTTACTGGGAGCGCAAGTAGAACAGTGATAGAGGCACAGACATTAGTTGTCGTATTCCTTGTGTCTCCATTTAAACTGTGCTGTTCTTTGAGGCAACACAGAACTCCAAATTACTAACTGAATATCTATACTGCTCTCTCTGACGAGATTCACAGAGCAGACTGGGCAAGGACAGCAGCACTACTCAATTGCAAACTGAACATCAAGTTTCTCTCTATAGATGGGAACAGAAAGCTTGAATTTGTTTCAGTGAGTTTACAGCTATATGTGTCATTAATGCAAGGAGAAAATTTTAATTATGTCATCAATGAGATTTACCAAACAGGATTTACTCTTGGACACAATAATTATTATTCATATATTCATTTATTTTTATCCATTGTTACATTCTTTTTTGACCTTTATAAATTGAGATATTTGCTAATACATGCACATGTGATGAACTCTGCACATAAAATAATTTATCAGTGTCTTATTTTATATTCTCCATTAATGCGGAGTGACTGCAATGCCAATAAGGAGGAAGCATGTCTGTATGACCTGACAGCCTAGGAATTCTTCCTATATAAGAAATTAAATGACACCATCGCTATGATTGTTCTGGAAATTATTACATGCATCACTTTGAGTAAGGAAATAGCCCTTAAAGGGAAACACTGAGCACCATAACAACTTCATTGCAATTAAGTTGTTATGGTGCAAGGTGGTCCCGGAAGGCATCTTAGCTGTTGGTTTAACCCATAAGTATGGACAATGGTGCCTGATCGCTCTGCTTCTGCACTTCCTCTGAAAGTCAGAAGCCTCGCACCAA